TAAAAACCCCAAAAAGTTTGGTGCTCGTCCCAAAATTTACTAAGTGCTGCATTTTACTTACGTTTAGGGATTTAAAAAATATATAAAAATATGGCGACATTTTTTAAACTATAATAAAAGTCTAACAATCACGTCACACTTCAAATAATACATATACACTTCTTTAGACAACTTCAGCATAATAGTTGAAGACATCCGCTTTTTCTAGTCATGGAGACTGGCCACTTCGCCTTAAAAATGGCGCCATCTTGTGTTGACTGTTCGACTGGGCCATAACGATTTAGAAAACCGTCAGATACAAAATTGCAAAGATAATTGTTGATTGGTCCGGGTTTTATTTATATTTGTTTTACATTTGATAACTTCAGTAAATCACAGTAAAATTAGAAAAAGTAAAACAAGCTGGTATTTGAAGAACTACAACACCCCAAAAGCAAGTCACAGTGACCTCTGTGAGATTTCATCAGCAGATTTGAAAGATCAATAAATGTACAGGAAGATAAGGCTTTCAGTTGTGCCACCAACTCACTGCTGCTTTCATCCCAGTATTCATAGCCACAGGCACATCGAGAAAATTATACAAAAACAAAATCAATATCAAAAGCAGAGTGGCATTTTACCCCTTCAAAAGTGTATTTTGTCCAAGGGCAGAATGTGCTCAAATGATTGATCACTGAACTAAACTAACCGCTACGTGCAACCAAAGGCCATAAGTTTTGCTTGAGGTTTCACAGTGAAGTTTATGAAAATATAAACATAATCAGTCACAGAACAGACTCCAAATGATCATTCAAAACAACGGGGAAACATTAACATAGGTAGTCCACTACAAATGAAAATGTTAATGTGCTCAGCCTCTGGTCATATGGTCTTCTTTTTCTCTCGCTCTCTCTTTAGAAGAACATTTTTGATGATTCAGAATAATAAAAAGAATGTAAGATTATCAAAAACAAAGGCAAAGAAAGTTAAGGACCATGGTTTGTGATGGTAAATTGATATTTTATGAATGAAAACGGTTGGTCTGTGAAGCAAAACATTATAACTCAATACTTCTAATTCACACAGCTTTGGCAAAAGCTCCAGATGGTTGTAAATGCCCTCAGGACTGTTTGCTCTGACTGAGGTAAAGTTATTGGTGTAAACCAGTGTTTCTCAACCACGTTCCTGGAGAACCACCTGCATTTACATATGTCTATGTTTCCATAACCAAACACACCTGATTCAGGTCATCATCTCATTAGTAGAGACTTAAAGACCTTTAATGGGTGTGACAGACAAAGAAGACATTCAAAACATGCAGTGTTGGTGGTCCTCTTGGAACGTGGTTGAGAAACACTGTTGTAAATAATGTTTTTGTTCTTGCACATATTAGATTATTTTTCTTCAGACGTTTTTATAAGGCCTTCATTTATTGTCAGGAGCCACAACAAGTCTAAATTGTTTTAAGGGGTTTTATCTCTTAACGTGCCAGTAGCCTTGCAGTGGAGACAGGGTTTGTGCAAGTTTCACCAAGCCAAATGTAAGACTTTTTAAGACCATCAAGAATGAAATATCAGACTTATACAGGGCTAAACAATAAGGAGATTGTTTTTTTAATGGCCTATCAGATTTATTTTAACTTGCCTAATCAAAAGATTAATTTTAACTAGATATTAAAGTTTGAGGACAAACTTTATGGTGGCTTGAAAAGCCGAATCTGAAAGTTTGAAGTGGTTTTAAAGTGTAAATAGAATGTTAGTATGATTTTAGCTTGAGTTAATATATTACTAGCATGAATTAGCATGTTAGTAGCATGATTCTTACATGAATTAGCATGTTGTTAGCATGATTCTAGCATGAATTAGCATGTTACTAGCATGATTCTAGCATGAATTAGCATGTTGTTAGTGTGATTCTAGCATGAATTAGCATGTTACTAGCATGATTCTAGCATGAATTAGCATGTTGTTAGCATGATTCTAGCATGAATTAGCATGTTACTAGCATGATTTTAGCATGAATTAGTATGTTGTTAGCATAATTCTAGCATCAATTAACATGTTACTAGCATGATTCTAGCACGAATTAGCATGTTGTTAGCATGAATCTAGCATGAATTAGCATTTTACTAGGCGGTTGCTAGGGTCTTTTAAGTGGTTGCTAGGTGGTTGCTAAGGTGGTGCAAGGCAGTTGCTAAGGTGGTCTGACTAGTTGCTAGGTGGTTGCTAAGGTGTTGCTAGACGGTTGCTAGGGTGTTTTGAGTGGTTGCTAGGTGGTTGCTAAGGTGGTGCTAGGCAGTTGCTAAGGTGTTCTGACTAGTTGCTAAGTGTTTATTGAGGTGTTGCAAGGTGGTCGCTAGGGTATTCTGAGTGGTTGCTAGGTGGTTGCTAAGGTGTTGCTAGGCGGTTGCTAGGGTGTTCTGAGTGGTTGCTAAGGTGTTGCTAGGTGATTGCTAAGGTGTCCTAAGTGGGTGCTAGGTGGTTGCTAGGGTATTCTGAGTGGTTGCTAAGGCGTTGCTAGGTGGTTTCTAGGGTGTCCTGAGTGGTTGCTAGGTGGTTGCTAAGGTGTTGCTAGGTGGTCCTGAGTGGTTGCTAGGTGGTTGCTAAGGTGTTGCTAGGCGGTTGCTAGGGTGTTCTGAGTGGTTGCTAGGTGGTTGCTAAGGTGTCCTAAGTGGTTGCTAAGGTGTTGCTAGGTGGTTGCTAAGGTGTTGCTAGGCGGTTGCTAGGGTGTCCTAAGTGGTTGCTAGGTGGTTGCTAAGGTGTTGCTAGGTGGTAGCTAGGGTGTTCTGAGTGGTTGCTAGGTGGTTGCTAAGGTGTTGCTAGGTGGTTGCTAAGGTGTCCTAAGTGCTTGCTAGATGGTTGCTAGGGTATTCTGAGTGGTTGCTAAGGCGTTGCTAGGTGGTTGCTAGGGTGTCCTGAGTGGTTGCTAGGTGGTTGCTAAGGTGTTGCTAGGCGGTTGCTAGGGTGTCCTGAGTGGTTGCTAGGTAGTTGCTAAGGCGTTGCTAGGCAGTTGCTAAGGTGTTCTGAGTGGTTGCTAGGTGGTTGCTAAGTTGTTGCTAGGCGGTTGCTAAGGTGTCCCAAGTGGTTGCTAGGTGGTTGCTAAGGTGTTGCTAGGTGGTTGCTAAGGTATTCTGAGTGGTTGCTAAGGCGTTGCTAGGCGGTTGTTAGGGTGTCCTGAGTGGTCGCTATGCCCTTACTAAGGCATTACTAGGCCGTTGCTAGGTGGTTGCTAGGCAGTTGCTAGGGTAATTTGGGTGGTTGCTAGGCAGTTGCTAGGGTACCCTGGTTGGTTACTAGGCAAGCCTCACATACATGCTTGATAAAACATTTATACTTAGTTAGCATTTATAGCAAGTTACAGTACTTGGCTAGTCAATATTAGCATGTAGCTAGTCACTGCTAGCATGTGTAGCATATAGAAAGTTCCGTTTGCTAGCATGAGTCAAACGAGCCAATCTCCAAGTCTCTATGATGTTCTGATGCTGAGATATAGCTGTTGATGAATGGTTGCTAGGGTACTCTGTTTTGTTGCTATGGGCGAGGTTACAGAGTGAACTTGAATGTGGTTGGTTGTCTTAGTCAAAGAACCAACCCCCATGTCTCTATGACACTGCTTTGCAAAGATATGCATCTTGGCCTATTTTAATGGAAGTCTACGGGACAGTTGCTAGGGTGCAGTATGTGGTAGTTAGGGGTGTGGCTAGAAAGTTAAAAGCTCATCAGTTATTGGCAGTTTGGTAGTCTGAGTTAAATGAGCTCAGCCATTAGTCTGTATGACAGTCTGATGCAGAGTTATGAGCTCACAAAGTTTGATCCCATGTTAAGTCAATGAGAGTCTTTTGTAATGGAAGTCTACGGGACAGTTGCTAGGGTGCAGTATGTGGTAGTTAGGGGTGTGGCTAGAAAGTTAAAAGCTAATCAGTTATTGGCAGTTTGGTAGTCTGAGTTAAATGAGCTCAGTCATTAGTCTGTATGACAGTCTGATGCAGAGTTATGAGCTCACAAAGTTTGATCCCATGTTAAGTCAATGAGAGTCTTTTACAATGGAAGTCTACGGGACAGTTGCTAGGGTGCCATAAGTGGTTGCTAGGGAGTGGCTAGTAAGTCTAAAGGTCATCAGTGATTGGCTGCTGAGTTGAATGAGGCCTGACTCTAGTCTGTAGGACAGTCTGATGCAGAGTTATGAGCTCACAAAGGTTGACTCAATGTTAAGTCAATGGCAGTCTTTTACAATGGAAGTCTATGGGACAGTTGCTAGGGTGCCAATAGTGGTTGCTAGGGAGTGGCTAGTAAGTTAAAAGGTCATCAGTTATTGGCTGCTGGCTAGACTGAGTTAAATGAGCCCAGTTAGAAGTCTGTAGGACAGTCTGATGCAGAGTTATGAGGTCACAAAGTTTGACCCAATGTTAAGTCAATGGGAATTTTGGGAATTTTCCGGGTCGTTTTTCGGAAAACCGAAAGTCGGATCAGTCGGAAAGGATATAGCAACCCGAGTCAGACCAGTTTGAAGGTTTGACGAAAGTTTGAAGTATGAAGCTTGAAAAGTTTAGGAGGAGATACACTTAGAAATTAGTCTCAGAAGAATAAGAAGAAGAAGAAGAATAATAATAAGTTTACGTGAGATAACAGTATGTTGGCTTTTCAAGCCACCATAATTAGTTATTTCTTAGCCACATATTTTTAAATAACGTGTCAAATCAAACAGACCCTACTTATATACAATTTTTTAACATTAAAAAAACTCTTTAGAATCCTCAATAAACTAAATGTATGCACAACAGACTATTATTATATAATTTGTTGGATCGAATGGGTAGCTTTACATAAACCAAGGAAAATTAAGTCCCGTTTATAATGATTTAAAACCTACAAGACAATATTTCAGTTTAAGACATTTTAAGGCCTTACATTTATTATTATTATTATTATTATTATTTAAGACTTTTTAAGACCCCACAAGGCTCTAGTGAGGAAAAAAGTTCTGGATGACCTGAGAGTGAGTTAATTACCAATAACAGTTTCTTTTAAGGTGAACCACACTTTTTAATGATCAAATGGAATGTGGCTAAGCATCATTGTACACTTTTTCTTAAGAGCTGCATGCACATTTATGGCTAGCGACTACTCTTTCTGGAAAAAAAACATACATTAATAAAGGCACAGAAGCAAGCCACAATTTTCATGCATTTGTACAGACATCTATGCAGGACAACATTTAACCACATAAAGTACAGAAGGCAAACAGACACTGCAGATGTATGATCAGTCAGACTGAGGAAGTACAAGGAGAAACAAAAACATCTAAAAGTGCCTGAGGACCTAATGTTGCACTGGTGTGTACATTGTTTTTGCATTTGATGTGCACACCAGCATGAAAAGTACCGATCTGGTGGATTCTGTAACAGAGTATAAAATAACCTGTAGGGAAAGAGCTGCCAGAGTCTGTGTGTCTGAACGGCACTTGAGGTGTGCAGGCTGGTCTGAAGCAAAGAACAGAGGAAGAATCTTCTTAGTTGACAGGAGGATCTCGAGTCTTCACACTTCCGTCCTCCATCCCGAAGTACACCCGTTCAGCCATGCCCACAAACAAACCTGTCTCAACCACTCCTTTACAATAGAAATAAATACAAACAAAAGAAAATAAATGGCAATAATGTGGTTAGAAAATCACTACTATAAAAATCAATTATTTTTATTCAGCAGACATTAAATTAAACCAACGTGACAGTAAAAGTCATTTATTGTTACAAAAGAACATAATAATCTTAAAAACAAGTTTATAAATGTTTAATGAGCACCAAATAAGCAAATTAACATTATTTCTGAAGGATCATGTGACACTCTAGTCAAGTAATGGGGAAAAACATGAATAAATAAAACTGAAGAAACTGAATCTGAGGATTCTCAGGAGGAAATGGCGTATTCTTTCAAGGGTTCTTTCATTGATTCAGCTTGAGTATGTTTTTATTTATTGATATGTAATTATTTTCCTTAAACATCAATAATTTATTCATATTTTTCTGCCCTTGCAGTGCTTCCTATGTTTACTCTCAAGATTGTTTATTATCAAGAGATGTTTGTCTTCACGAGGAAGAGATAAAAGAACATCTCCATTTCAAGGTTTTTACCATCACAGAAAGATGTTGTAAAGCAACAGTTTTTCATTCCTTTTGCTTTGCTATCTGGCGGAGTACATAATGAAGATTAACCCACCCCGAACAATTTTAGAATCAACACTTCTTTTCCTGCTTTCTGCATTTCCTTGTCCTTTTCTACCAGCTTCTCAGGACACAGAGTATCAGATATCCAAAATAAATGTATAAAACTGACAAAAACAAGACAGAAGCAATAAATGGCTTCTGACAGGATCTGGGAGATACTGGATCTAACACTTCTGGCATGAAGATTGAGCAAAACAACAGAAACTAAATTTTAAAATGCATAAAAATAGAAAACAGTTATGGAAAACTGCAATAATGGTTCACAGTATTAGGGGCCATTCACGTATTGCATCAAAAAAAAAAAAAATACATGGAAAATGCAAAGCGGACTGCTTCCTCTACCAATTTAAATACGCTTGTGCTCCAGTGGTGTCTGCCATTGCTTTGCAACCATCAACTGCACTCTGCAAAGTATATATTGGCTTAATGTGGGTGACGGGGTGTCAAAATAAATATATATATATATATATATATATTTTTTTTTTTTTTTTTTTCTACATTCTCGCAATGTACATGCAGACAAGTCAGTATTGGTTCAGTAATAATCACAACCGGTTATTATATACTGACGTCATACATCTCATTTGCGCTATGTCACGGAAGAATACTATGGCGGGGAAGGTGACCGGGAGTATAAAAATGTGTATGGAAAGCATCATCAATGCACCGTGATATTAAATATAACCAAATCGATGGCATAATAAACGTAACCGAATCATGAGACTAGTTTAAGTTCACACCCCTATTCTCCAATGAACCACCACTGGCAACTGTAGCTCTGATACAATTTGTATTTACAAAGAAAAAAAAAAAGTGCATTGTTCGGCTTTATTATCCTATTGGATATAATGAATTGTGTAATTCATACAAACGGTGAAGCTGATAGGTTGGTTCTCGTCATGTGCATTCATTTTTATAGCAGTATTTTGAAAAAGTAACTCGTACTGCTGTAGGCGCACCTGAAAAAAGCAGGTTTTTTTTTTGCTTTTTATATTCAGACATCTCCATCTGAAATAACTTCAGGCATGAATAATACAATATTTATGAATGGCACCTTACTCTTCTGACTGCATTTCTGATCAAACAAATGCAGCCTTGGTGAGTATTCAAGCCAAAAATTAAAAACAAAAAATAATTATATATTACCAGCCCCACACTTTTGAACTGTATGTACACAGAGAAAAGAGCAGTCGTGTTGTTGATCTTTACTGACCTGGGATCATCTTAATGGCCGTGTTGACCTCTTTCCAGTTCTGAGCATGCTCAAACTTCCAATCCAGGATAAAGTTACTGTTATCAGTAACCACAGGACCCTAAAGGTACGTACATTTAATAAAGAACAAAAATGTTTTCAGATAAACAAACAAAAAGTAATGACACAATGAGAAACTATGAAAATAATATTAATCAGTGCTGTATACATACACTTTTTATACAACAAAACAGCTGACATTTAAAAATATATATTCTCACGCATCTAAACCTATGCACAGTGGTCTGTTCTGGCTCAAGATTCCAGATCATCAGTTAACTATGCATACAACAACATATTAAAGCAACATTATTGTAAAGGATGATTTTTAAACTATATATAAAAAAAAATAAGAGCAAGCAAAAGAAAGCGGGTAAAAAAACAGTGCACGATAATAAAAGTATGATGCTGCGCACACGGTTAACGTTAGGCCTAATAATAATCTGTTCAAAGAATGGTTAAAGCGAAAGCGACAACAACTGCTGCTGCTTACAAAGAATCTCGAGCCCTTGAAGGTCTGTGGATGCACCAAGTGTGCCGCAAGCCTACGTTTGAGTGAAGGTTTCGGCCGTTAGATCGCCCCCTGGGGGCTGGCTGCAGTACAAGTCATAAAGCCCGCCTCCTCCGTGTTAATGAAGGAGACTTGAGCCCAAATAAAAAAAAATATTACACTTGGAATAAAATGTCCCAAAAGATAGTTCTGGTCGATTAAGGCACTGGTTATTGTGCTGAAATAGGTGCAGATCTTCATTTTTGCAAACAGTTTGTTTTTAGCAGTAATTTAATGCTGGGCGTGTCATCGTGATTGACAGCTGTGATTGACAGTTTCTCAAAGCGCGGCGTCTGAGCTTCGGCAGAAGACTGAAGTAGACTGAAATGTTATTATTCGATTTCTGTGTTATTTTACCATGACAAAATGAGTTCAGCAGTAAACTATAGTTTCTGACATACATGATCCTGGTGGAACACTGTTTATTCGCTAAGTTCAGGGCTTTTTTCGGGCTTTATTAGTTTGCTGATACACGCCTAGCCACCCAGATAGCAAAACACAGTTCTGGCTAGATTCTCGCCTGCCGGAGACTTATCTCTTAGAGCTCAGACTGACTAATGTTACCTCTGCTGGACCTACTCCGGATGCCTGGACTCACTACCCAATTCCAGCCCGAGTCAATCGAGCCAGATGCGGCGGCCGAGCGAGCAGGGGCTGCCGCATGCGAGCCGGAATCAGCCCGCGACGCCGCGAGTAAGTTATGCGCTGCGGCCTGGAGCTGGCGCGATTAAATATATATAATCCTCACATTTGTTAACGTTATTACATCCATTTGTGTTGATATGACAGCAAACGCATGCTGAGAAGTCCGGGGGGCGTAGTTGATTTTACATAAAGTGTTTGATTGGAAGCTCGACTCTGCTCATTTTCGCGGCTCCTCCTCTGGCTCCATCAGACAATCCTTCTGCGCATGTCTGGCTCCAATTTCAGCAGTCTTTTGCGACAGTTTGTGCCCGTCAAGCAGGCGTTTTGCCCTCAAGGCGTTCAATGGGAAAAAGGGCTGTCGCGTCGTCCATATTTTTTACAGTCATTGGGATGCACGAGTGTCGCACTAGTTCCGTTTACAGGCATGGTTGCTTCGAGTGAGGAAATGGCACAAGAGCTTTTAAACACTCGCGAGCACCAAATCATCTGTGTGCACGACACTAAAGCCCTCATCAGGGAGTGTGGAAAGCCTGTCTCACAGTGCGCGTGATCCTCTGATTCGTTATTTACCTGCTTACTTTTGCTTGCGCTGCTTATCAATTCTAAGAGCACATTTGTACGGATATAAACAAATGGTCATAAACTAACAGTCTAATCTGTGGTGACGAAGGGCCAGCACTGCAATTTAAAAATGAGTTTCACCCAGCCAAAGTGGCTAGTGGGAGTGGCTGTCTAACCCGCCACAACCAAAATCTACTCGCATTTGGCGGGTTGGCAGGTGTTCATGTAAAGCCCTGATAATAATATATATTTTTGTACTATTGAAAAAAGAAGGCTTCCAGGATTAATAAATATAAACAGAACTTTACATTTTAGGACTGGAAATTAATTTCCTGCATATGATATAATAAAGGGGTATGTAATATTCACATACATACTTCAGATTCATAGGGGGCAAAAAAAAAACATTTTTGTCAAAACAGTAGCTATTAACTTCTTGCTTGTCAAACTTCAGTATAAATACATCACATTTGCAATCATGCCCACATACTAAAAATTCACAATAAAAGTTGTTATTCTTTTTTTATTAAGTGTCATTCCAACAACATTTTTGTTGTTTTTCACCACATAGTAAATCCTTTTGGATTGTTTAAGATACACTTTTGTTTGTTTGTTGCCAAGCAAGTGAGAATTACTATCTAAATGTGTTAATAAATCAACAATTTACCAAAGAAATACATCAAAACAAGTTCCAGAACACATCCACCAATTGCCTAACTGTCACAGACAAATGATAGCTCAAAGAGCCAAAACAAACTCCGCAAAAGTTGTTTTGAACTGCTGAAACAAACTAAAAAAGAACTTGCTTTCAGACTAATTATGTTCAAACTGACAATTTCAGTATGTTCTTCAATTTGGTTTGAAGTATGCTGGGACCTTAAATGTCAAGAACACAAGTGTAACTGAGGACTTTCTTACAGCTTTACTGACTGCCATCCTCAGCACGGCTTCTCCTCCAAAGCGGTGGGCGATGGCTCTGGACACAGGCACATACGCCATGGGGATGACCTCCACTGGCACACCCTTCTTCCACTGCTGCCCCAGAGCCTTAGAGTCTTTCCTACACACACACAAACACCACAGCGACGTCACTAAAACACAGCTAAACCTCTTCCAGAAAGAATTGGATGACTGTCTTACATAATTACATCTATCGCGCGCTGTGTTATGATGAAACCTGACTGCAGTTCAACATAAACGCGCAGTAATTATGGGATGCTAAATATATACTGAATATCACAGCTCAAACATTAGAGCGCAGCACTGGCAATGCCAAAGGGTTGATTCATAGGAAATGTATGAACTGAGGAAGTGCTTTGGGTGAAAACACCAGCCAGATGACACAGACGTACCTATAATCTGCAATGACAATGAAGTGTTTGGCGCATCCAGCCACAATCTTCTCCTGGGTTAAACATCCTCTGATTGGAAAGAGGGGAAAGAAAGTGACTTTAAACCTGATGACACCTTAGGGTTTCAGATATGAAAAGGACAAGAAAGACATCTTTGAAATAACCCCACTTACCCTCCTCCTTTAATCAAGGTCAGAGCCGTATCAACCTCATCAGCCCCATCAATCGCTACATCCAGCTAGAAGATACAAAGATCAAGCTCATTTGTCCATAAATAAGATTGTGTTTATTTGAAAGCATTTGTAATTAATTTGTTTGTCCAAAAACGAACAGTTAGTTATTAATTACTCATCCTCATGTTGTTCAAATCCCCTCAGACCTTTATTTATATTTTTGATCCTCCATGTGAAGCTCCAACAACACTTTACTGTGGAAAAACACACTGTAAAAACTACTTTATTCAACTGTATCTTTGACACCAGGTGAGGGTGCGCGCTTATTACAAGCAAAACGGTGCTTGTGTTCCGTTGCTGATTGTAATGGCAATATATTGTATTGCCTGACATATCATAAAACCACACCCTGATGCTGAGGGAAGTTATAGGAAGACAGATTCATATTTACAGTGGGTTTAACAGTTTGTTTGTTTTGGCTGATAAAAATTGTTCTTGGAGCTTTGTATGATTACTGTTGAACCACTGAATACACATTCAATCTTTTGACTGTTTTTGGTTTATTTTTTTTAGACTGTGAACTAGGGCTGCACAATACAGTTTCCGCTTTGATGTTGCAATGTGCGCATTCTCAATAGTGACCTCACAGGATCTGCTTTGTCTAGTCTGGATCACAGCTGATCAGGGTCCTATTTCAGAAAGAAGGTTAAGTGAAAACTCATAGCATGTTAACCCTAAAATGAGAGAAACTCTGCTTTTCCGTTTCAAAATGACAGGTTTGTCAAACTGGAGAAAACAGGGTAAGTCAAGCCTGTTTCTGAAAAAGAGGTAACCTTAACTCAAGAGTCTGTTACCGTGGTCACTGTGAAAATAACCTGGTCAGGAACAGGTTTTATTCTCTAAACTCTGAGTTTCTGTTGGTCTCCTTCCCTTTTTTTTAAAGACGAAGCAGTACTTCTCGCCTTAGCCTTACGTTTCCACCCACCTATTTTTATATGCATTTTGGATATGCGCATAAAAAAATAAATAAAAGAATCGGTTTATGGAAATGCCAAGATGCGCATAACTTTTGAAATGTTATCCTAAACTGATGAGTATGTATAAAAGTGAGAACCTCAAATTAAACATTTCCTATAAACATTAAGCTGTAGTTATATGGATTATTGTTTTGTCAAATTTGTTGTAGAAACTATGCAGTAGCCTATTTTATGTAATTTATGGCAATTACATCTAAAATAACTTCAAAATTACGGCCAATTCCTCACTTTTTCACGTAAAAAAGTCAAACTTCACACATTACATTGCTTTTTTATTATACTTAAATACTTTTAATGTAAACTTACGCATAACCTGGAGCAGCTGTTTTCCCAAGCTAACTGTCTGTTTCACTGATGCAGTTGTTTTGCTTTTTTAGACATATACTCATATTTGCTGCATGAGCACATCAAGTTCAGCTGGAGAAAGAAATGCTGATCTCTTCTTTCAGATGTTGCCATGGTGACTCGTAATATATGCGCTCGATTGATAATGCCATTTTAAAGTCACGTGTGCGCGCTTAATTCTGAGTTAGTCAATTCAAAGTTGATTGACTATGAGTTTTGAGTATGATCTGAGTTTTTAAATCTCTCGGTAAGTCAACTCAGAGTTCAAGTTTAAACCCTGAGTTGGTTGAACCTAAACTGAAACAGGCCCCAGGAGTAACAATTCTGAACACGTGAGATTTGTAGAATTACTGCAAAGTTTAACCATAACAGAGTGAAAGTCTATCATTTGCATGAGTTTTAAGACCTGTGACTGTGTAAACATTTTATGAGTTTAAAAAAAAAATAGGTACATGAAAGTGCAACATTTACAACAGTAAATACACAACAAAGACTATGCTGAAGCATTCTTATTTTACGTTTGATTACACTATTTGAATATTGTTAAACTCACAACAAAAATCCCAAAGCACTTTTTATTTTACTTTTATCTCTGCTCTGTTGTATGCTATCAATGCTTGTAATTTGTTTATTATATTTTATGCATGACCTGCTATCCTACAGAATTATCTCAATCAATCTAAAGTGATGAATTCTTCCAAATAGAGCTATTTGAGTCATTGGTTGAAACTAAGATAATTTGTTTTTATCCTATTTATATTTTGCAATTTGAATAATGCTGTGACTATCATTATTGAAAATTCCAAGTTAGTCACATCTTGGGGCTGCTGAGGGATTTAGATACTTTATTAACAACAGTACAAAAAACGACAAGTCTTCATTTGTTGCTGTTTATTGTTGTTAATTCATTGCAGTTAATTTACAGATAATTTGAACACAAAACTGATATCAAATAAACAAAATCAAATAACTTTGGCCACTACTGTAGGCAAGTTCTAAAGACCTTGTGCTCCCAGCAATCAAAAATACCTTAATATCTGTTCCAAAGATAAAGGTCTCAAGGGATTAGAACGGCATAAGAGTGAGAAAGTAATTACTGAATTTGCATTTAACATAACAGTAAATTTTAAAGGTTGAAAAATTATGTATGATTTAAAGACAATTTAACTTGTCAGAATATGCTGCATGCATATTGTACCAATATATATTTAGAGTTTACAAAAAAATAATAACCTGACATCTTGAGCAGGATTTCCCACTTTTTTTGGAGTCTCAATCATTTTCGTTTGGCTTATTCCCTGCTATTATCAGGAGTTGCCACAGTGGAATGTACCTCCAATTACATTTTAACACCCACACACAATTTGGTTTATACAAATTAATCTATACTGCCCTGTATTTGGACTGTGGGGGAAACGGTAGAACCCAGAGGAAACCCACACAGAAAGAGAGAACATGCTCACTCAACACAGAAAGGCCACAAAGTGACCTTCTTGCTAAAGAGCAACCTTGCTAAACACCTGGCCACCATGCCACCCTTTTTTGTACAATTGTATGTGTTTATTGTTAAAAGTAAGTAACTTCTATTTTAGTATATTTTAAAATGTGATTTCACCATAATCGTCTTCAGTGCAGTTTCAGTGCGAGACCAAATAACATTTCTTATCAGGGACTTAACCAATCTTGAAAACAGTTGTCATGAAAAGTTTTTTTTTAACAAAAAATTTCCAAATTTTGTGGTCAGTCAAGATTTAACTATTTGAAAATATATAATTGAAAATTTTTTACTTGGTTTGTTATGGTTTCAACAAAAATTATATTTAGGGCTTAGTGGCCACATACGTGTACAGCACATTTTAGCTTATGAGTGGCTATTTAAAATACTTTGAATATGTTATATTTTGTTACAGACATACAATTTCATCCTGCAACAGTTTTGCAGCATATGAAATGTCCCAAACAGTATTTTTAACTGTACAAAATGTAGGGAAAATGCTGTTTTTACTCTCTGATAGTCGGATTATTTAAAAAAAAAAAAAAAGTATATGTTATACATGCATTAAAAACATTCAAAAAGTGTTATATGTAAATTAGGACCACGAGTCCACATATATGGACATATTTTTTCTCTAAAAGTACATCATATCAAAAGATAATTCTTAGGTTTTATTTTAATTAAGGTTAAAAAAGCCCAAATAGCAAAAAGAAATTAAAAATGCATGTAAAAACACCTTGGGCCTTAAGAGGTTAAAGAAAACAACATTCTTGAGCAAGAAGTCAGCATATTAGAATGATTTTTTAGAGATCAATCTACCCAGTGCATGATTCTCTGATATCAATAAACAGACACAACATGAAAGTAATCAAAGAAAGTGTTGATAATCTTTAGAAATTGATTTATTTAGAATATTTTCACTTTAAGCAAATAGTAATGTTTATGTACACGGCTATAATTTATTTGTTAGGTTTAAAATAAAATCAAAAAAACTGTCAGGAAATGCCATCAAAGAAGCACTCTGCTAAATGTAATTACAAAAGCTGTTGTTTCGGACAATGACTTCCCCTTTAAAACTATTTTAGTCTAAACAGACTGAGAATTCTTTTTTTTATTATTATTTCTGCATTTTTATTTACTTGCATTTTTCAGTTATTTTATGCTGTTGTGATGTCGTCTTTAAGATGTGATACACAACACAGCACCAGTCTTCATGGCATGCTGTAGGCTAAACTCACCTCAGGATGTCGGTCTAAATCAGACAGAGGGAGACCATGCTGCAGAATCAGCTGACGGGCCTGGATCAACAATTCAACAGTTACACACAAACACAGACGTTTTCTACCGTTTATAGCTATAAAAACAACAGGTTTTACTCGCCTGGAATGATGTGGGAACACAAACAATATTCAGCTTTTCCTGTCTGACCTTCTCAGCTAGAAAGCAAATATCATGCTTTAAGAAATAATCATACAAGTATGAGAACACAATGATATATTAAATGTCTTACCCAGCCTGTCCACCGCATAGACAATAGTTGAGCCGCTGCCCACACCAATTACCTGATTATTCTAAAAGAAATAAACAAATGTTACATTTAATATCATAAAACCACCTGAAAACCTTGCATTCATCAATATCTTTAATATTTTTTACTATTATTTGCATTTTTTTTTTCCATTTAACACTTAAAAAAAAATTCAATTACTTTTTTATATACTTTTTAACATGAACATCTTGTACAGATTTTTTTTTTATTTATAGTTCTGCATTTACTTAGGAATTATAAAAATCTAAAGTTTAGGAAAAAATCTTATTTTTTTAAAAAGCTTTAAAAAGCTACTATAATAAATGTATTTTCCATTGTTCTTTCATGATAGTGAATACACATTTTGACAACTATGCTAAAACAAATGTGCTGGTTTTCCTTGTAAGAGAGTCAGTAGAACTCCTACAGTAAATGATTTAACCTTCAAAATGTCTGCATGCTGCTTTATCTTGAAAAAACAAAATGGAGTTGAGTATATTGCCATATCAGCTTCCCTGGCTATTTCATGGCAAATTTGGAAGCATTTTTTAACTAGCACTTTTCAATTATAAAAAATTATATCAATGAAAAAAAAAAAAACACCAACAATAAAGAACACATGAAACACAAAAAAGAATGCAAGACTTCTGTTAAAATTGACCATTTTTGAATTAAAAAATAATTCCTTTCATTGTCTTATAAAAAAATAAAAAATAAAATAATAATAATAATAGTAATAATAATAATAATCGGGCATTGCAAAACATAGGTTGTTATGGCAATATTGACATTTTGGAGCACCTTCTTTGAGTAGATGTCGATGTGTAATTTTAGCTTGTCCAATATGTAATCTCGTATAAACCATCTCAACTTGTTTTTAGTTAAAATAATTGTTTGATTTTATTCCTACTTAGGGCTGGATGTTAAAAAGTTTATTGTTTGAGTGCTGCTTTCCATTTAGAATGTAGCTTTTTAATTAGCATTTTCAAGTCTGAAGGTTATTTACACATCACTTAAGTAAATGTTGAATGATTGAGAATAATTGGATCAGTCCACCATGATGACATTAAAACACGAGTAAGAAGAAGCTTAACCTTACATTCCTGTAGATTCAATATCATGAGTTTGATTCTAATCGAATAGATCTACATTGTGTATGTATACCTTGAATTAGGGTTATCGTTACCTGAAAGATATGTAATATGCAATATTGCTGTTGAGTACTGCAAAAACATTATCTCTTATGGTTATAAAATTGCCCTATTTTTTAAGCTTTAAAAACAGTTATGTAATGATCATACTAAAATAAACAAGCAATAATGGATATTTTTCGGATCTTTACAAAAAACTAAAACATTTGCAAAAATCAAAAGGTGCAAACATTTACATTCACTTTGGAATACAAGAATTTAAAGTATTTTTATTTGTACTGTTAGAGGGATATACATAATAATAATAATAATAAAACATTTGTTCTAATTATTCTTTTTACTTTAAAACCCAAATGTATTGGAAATAATCAAGGGTTGTAATATAAGGTAATATACCTGAGGATTAATAAAATAATAAATAATTACTTCAAAGCATTTTCAGTCTCACTTTCTTGCAACGTTCAGGCAGAAGTTCTGTTTTGGCCTACAATTTATTTTATTTCATTTATTTTCATTTGATTCATTTATTTGACCTCTCTGTAATATGAATATTGCATGTACTTTTATTGCGATGACAATTATAATTTTCTGAAATATTGTGCAGCCCTAATAGAAGGTTCATCTTGGAGAAACAAAATTTTAGAATCACCCATATACCTCTATGCAAAGTAATTTAAGGTATGGCTGCACAATAAATCATTTCAGCATCGATATCGCAATGTGATCATTGGCAATAATCACATCTCAGGATTTGCAATGTTGAGTCTGGATTATAATAAATTAAAAATTTTTATGTGTTTCTGATGCCAGTGAATGTGTGGGGATTTTTAAAAGCATTCAAACATAAGAATTTGTACGGTTTGTAACTTTAATAAAGATTCATTTTATTAAAGTATTTTTATTATTCAATTACTGTACCTGAATACTGTTAGACTCTGTAAAAAAACAATAAAACATTGCTTATTTCAATTGCATCTTTTTAAACTATTGATCTATGCTTGTAGATGTTTATTATAATCTGTGCAGATGCACTTCTCCACAGAATGAGTCTAAAATTATTAATTATTTTCAAACAGAGATGTTCAAGTCATTTGGTCAAATTGTATTCATGATGACGCAATATATATTGCAGAATGACAAAATGTCGCAAAGTTAGATTTTTCCAATATCGTGCAGCTCTGATTTGTACCACTGAGTGTGCTACAATCAATAATATAATGTAACGTAACACGAGAGACTGCAGCAGTAAACCACGTAGCTATTTCCAAGCATGCTAATCGCTATAACGGTTTATTTTGAGCAGCTTTAGCATCCTTATATCACCTAGCTTACTAAATGTGTGAAGCAACCCAATGCGTAAACAAACAAGCTCGCTCGCTCACTTCACAGTCGCTGACTTCACTTACATATGACATGTAGCATCATAGCTAGCATGATTCAGGCTACAGTGCGACAGCGTACACTAACTACAAACTGAACTGTCAGAAAAAAAACGCAAATGTAAGCCAGCAGTACTTTGAATTTACAGTTAATGAATAACGTTATATAAATTGACATGCGTGTAGTCTGCCACGCGTGTTCAGTCACGCCTTCTGAAGTGTTTAATACTCCTTTTTTAGACCGCTAAACTTATGTAATTTCTAGATTTATGTAATATATGTCACGTAAAAAAGATAGATACTGAATCTCACCTGTATGTGGTTGTCCACAGCAGCATAAGCCGCCAGTTTCTTGGCCTCTTCAGCCATGCGAGAGCAGTAGAGCCGCCTGCTGCTGTTGATTAGTCGCACGTGTTTGCCCGGTGGAGAGAAGAAGTGGAGGAGAGATCTGAATCTGTAGCTGATCTGAGCGAACACAACCCTCCTCATCACACTGCGCGCTTACTGTCAACACGAGCGTGACCGCGCAGAGACCAAACTAACCGGACCGTAAGCGAAAGGTTAAAGGACGATCAAAACCAAACCTGTCAGATAACAGGAGTCAGGTGTTCTGCTGGACGCAATATCAGAGCAGAGTCCAGTAAGAATGGTCGGTTCCTGAAGGAATTGTTCACTTGAGTCGGTTCAATCAGTTGACTCAGTGGCAAGCGGTTTCAACATTTAAGGTACCATTTTCATGCTACTAAAATTCTACTTGTGTTGGCCACTGGTTCTATATTATTCTTAAGGAACTACTCTGTGCATTTAAGAAATGCAGTACGTATTCATCACTAGCTGTTAGTTGTTTGTTGTAGATAGATAAGCTACTGATAACTTTATCAATTGAAACTGATATAAGCTACTAAATCAATAGATAGGCTACATATTCATGATGCAGCACTTACTGATTATTACTATTCAGTGTAAGAATTTGTGTTTTACTTGTAAGATATTTAATCTAGTCATAATCAATAAATTTTGCATAATTACTAATGACAATCACGTGATTCTGGTGGCCTGCAAAATTCTGATGGAGGGCAGGAAGTAAAAAACCTGAATAGGAAACATAGAGGAAAGTCTGTATTTTAGTGAATTCTACCATATTTTAAAGGAGATATATAAGGAGAAAATAGCCACATGAGGTGGGCACGATCATGAAGAGGGCCGCGTTTTTAACTAAACTAAAATACATTTCCTGGTCAGAGGCAATGGATACTGTATAAGCTTTTACGCTACATGAAAAAATACTATACTAAAGACTATAGTATAGTGTTTGGAAGCATGCTAAAGATACTTGAATTAAATTGTCATAGTAAATATATAGTTGCTGTGGTACGACACAACTGCAGTTATTAACAAATTATTCAATAGGCTTACAAACAGTTTTCTATGCTACAATTTTACACCATCACAATGATCCACAGTTTACACTAAAGTTACAGTATTTATTACAGTTTATCAGGTCACTATACAGTATTCTGTAGCATTCAAAAACAAAGAGTTGTACACATTATAAATTACTATAGCTTTTTTCCCCCTATATATGCAGACAGATATGCAATTTAAACGATTATAAACAACATAAAACTGAAAAAATTTTATGTTCTGTTTTGAAGTTCTGATGTTCCTATATAGAAGAATCACTTCCTGCCCTCTATCTGAGTCTTGCGGGTTATCAGTGACGTCATGAAAACAACCAATAGTAAGTTTATTAAACAAGAACCAGTACCCAAAAAATAACTACTAAAATTATTAGTAGTATCTATTAAAATGAAGCCTTCATTTGCAAAAACAGGTAACCACCCTTTTTAGAAACTTTCAGAAATTGAGTTGTTTGTCTGTCATTTTTAGAAATTATGTTGTTTTGCAATTGTAGGCCCACTCTTCAATGCACAACATAAACATATCTGAAAATCACTGAGAACAAAATCATCTGTTTTTGCAAATAAACTCATAATATATGTTAGAATCTAACAAAATGTAGCCTGTTATTTGAGTAGGCTACTAGGACTTAATTTATCTGTCAATCATTTAATGTTAATATATTACAAACAAGCCAGTAATTTTTGTGCTAGTACCAATTTAGGCAGTAGTACGTTTACTAGTAGCCTACTTATTCAAAATGGACACTTGTACACTTTTTGAATTGAACTCAGCTGTAGACATTCCAAATAAATGATAGTATAAGGCCTTTAAAGAAGCTGGTGAATGTTAAGATATAAAGTAATAATATAGTTACAGTATAGTAATAATTACTAATCGCTAAATATTTTCTAGTAATAACTGCTTATATATGTTAATTAGTTTTGTTGACCTTATCCTGCACTGCAGAGGCGTGCTCTTTTTTGTTTTAGAACTTCATCCAATCTTTAACATCTTTAATACACTCCGTTAGCTTAGACAGTTCATAGATTCAGTTGCTTATGGAAGAAATAACTAGGAATAATAGGAATAAAGAAACTACTTGCTCTACAAACAAGTGTGCTCATGACTATATAAAAAAATAAAATAATATAATAGGAAAATGCCAGTTTGTAACATCAAGCAGCATAACGAGCAGTTTATAATGTCTAAAAGTCAATGGAAGTAAATCAGGATTTCTGCAGGTTTCATCAAGTCAAATTTAATACTTTTAAGACCATTAAGAATGAAATTTTAGACTTATAGAAGGGTAAAGACTAAGGATTTTTTTTAATGACCCGGTATTCTTGGTCATTGGATGGATGTCGGCCCGACTGAGTATATCTTCACTTGGGCAAAGCAAAATGAAGACATGTTTAAAACAATTTAGAACCTACAACACAATATTTCAGTGAATTTAAGACTTTTTAAGGCCTAAAATTCCCTTTTTAAGGACTTTTTAAGACCCAGCATACACCCTTTAAATGAGACTGGAAGTCAAACCAAAAGATTCCAGTTGTGCCTGATTGTACGTGAAGAATAAGGTCAATAGATTAAATGTTAAAATGGCTTGCCATATAGATTAATCTGTTTCTGACCTTTCTTTGTTTTGTTTTGCTTCTATCTGCATTCGAAGTGAATCAATTTAACTAATCAAATGGGGTGAAAAAGTGGGTTACTGTGTACTAAAAAAGCTAATTGTGGCAGATAATTTGCTCAAGCTGCAAAATGAGGAAGAAATGTGATTTGTTATGGGAATGTTGTTAGTGCCAGATGGGTAGGTCTGAGTTTTATTTCTTATAACTTATAATCTACTGCAATTGTCTGATCGACTGGGCCACAGCCATGAGAACGATAAAACTAACCAATTAAAGGCAGTTCTCTTGATTAAAAAAAGTCTGTAAGAGAGAATGGCCAGACTGGCTCAATTAGCAACAGTAACTCGCATAACCACTCCTTACAACAAAAGTTTGCAAAAAAAAAAAAAAAAACTGGACAATCAAAGATCATAATAAGGTTGCCTGGTCTGACGCATCTTGATTCCCCCTGCAACATTTGTTTGATAGGATCATGATTTGGAGTAAACTACAATAAATCATAGATCCACACTGTCTATCAACAATTCAGGTTATTTTCTCACCTGCATTGATGCTGACCATGTCCATCCTTTTATAACAACATCTGATGCCTTGACCTTGAAACCAAATTCAAAAGGAATGTTTCCAGCACCTTGTTGAATCTACTGTAAGTCATGACGACTTTTGGCAGTTCCAAAGGCAAAGTGGGACTGGTGTGTACTACTGTTATTCACTATACTAAACCTGACCAATAGAGGGCAGCTAATGCCTTTAATACAAAAAAGAAGTAGAGGTAATTGTAAAAAGTGCCAGGCAAATCCAGAACTCAACTGTAGCCAACATACATGCAAAACAGAGGAGAGCTGAAACAGATGGGTATCAATATATCTCTTTATTTGGCAATCAGCTTGAAATGATCTAGATTTCAGTGTATAGCATACCCCTATTAAACCCACACAATCCTTTCGATAAACATGTCTCTTATTTACCTTAGTTTTTACATATTGCAGTTTACAAATTTAGCTTATCTGTTTGACAAAATCAATTCGACAATGGATCTTTTTTTATGTGCTATATAAAAATCTACACATTATACATTCATGATTAGAAAATAAAAAATCCAAAACAATATTTAAACAGCACAGAACAGAACTCGTCAACATGTCCCACCCAGGTGTGAGCGATCACAAATTAAAGTTGAATACTTCAATATTACAGTAAATACTGAGAAATGTCCAATGACAAACAGGATTACTGGAGGGAGGTTGTTTTTACACCAGAGGTCTGGACTCAAGGAGAATAACCATGATAACGTTACAGGGAAGATAGAGAGAGAAACGGGAATGCTGATTACGTTCTGCCAGATCTTCTTCAATAGTACATCTAATCTTTCTTTCGAGGCTTAAAGCTCTTCATGACAAAAATCAGCCTATGGTCTGGCTCTCGGCTTTCTCTAATCTCATATTGCCTTTCGTTAAGTGCACAGGTGCTCACTTTTGTTTGCCCCCAGTTTCTTTCTTTTTTTGTGCGTCATCTATTTCACTCTCTTTGGGAATGTAACGTGGTGCGATGGGTCAAAATCATTAACCGCATCATCTGATTTCTTGACATCTCTGAGAGGGTTTTTTTCCAGAAAGATTACAAAGAGTTATAAATGACAATGGTCCAATCCCAAATGGCACCCAAAATTCTTGCAGTCTACCTCTAAATCCACACATTCTTGCCGTAATGCAGCTTTGACCATCGAGTTAAAGTCTGCTGCAGACCTCAACTCAGTGTGCATTTAAGGGAGCATAACAGCCTCTTGTGAGCACCCTCCTAAAAGACAAAACGCAGTCTTGCTGACTTGACTTCCTTGTACACGCTGGCCCTTAATGCTTCCAGTCTTTCTCTGAGCTCACAGTATCATGCCATGATTGAGTTTTAAGTATGCTTGGAGCTCACCTTAGAAGTAGTGGGCTTAGAAGAAGTGCACATCAAGGGTACATGGCTTCTGCACATGCACCCATCCGAAATCTAGTCCACTCTTTTGTGAATTTATGCCAGTTGAGTAGAAGTCTGCTTACTGCGGCACATAGTGGCCACAAAAGGTGTTGTTTACTAGTGCCCTTCTGAAAGCTAAAATGGTGAATTGGACACCCGATGGTCTTGTGGACCTAACTGACAAGTGTACATGGGGGCTACAATAAGTCTGTAATAGCAGAAGTGCACAAGAGACTCAATCTCAAATGGCACCCTAAGCCCTTGCCATCTTCCTCTGAGTCCAGATTTTTGTGATGTGATGTCACTTTAATGGTTGAATGGAGATCTGCTGCAAAGCTCACCTAAAGGCCCTGATATACTTCAAACAAAGTTCTTTTACACTCTTCATTTGAAAGAAGTAGTTTGAAAAGGCTGAATGATGATATACTGCTTTCAAACATTCAAACATGAGGTGGGGTTGAAAAAAATCTGTCAATCTTGCAAGTGTGTGCCCCCTAAACAATGATGGTGGCTGTGAGTGAAGAACAGTTTCATTAACATCTTGCAGTAGCGCTGATCTATTTAATGGCACAAAATAGAACAAGCAATGTAGAAACTAAAAGAATTATGATGAATTATTCAGAAAATGCAGCATTTTCATACTTTAGAATGTGCATTGGTGGTTTTGACGACCTCCTGAAAAGTGTATCGCCATAAGAGAACACAAAAAACCACAGGATGATCTTGACACTCTTAGTAATACAGTAGGTTGTCAAAGATGGAGTTCTAGAACACATCCACCAATTGTGTGATCAAGATTGTGTTTAAAATTGTCATTTCAGATCGTTCATTGATTTCGTTAAAGTATATTAGGGAATTAACCCTGGCACTGGCTCAAAAAAACATTGTAGGTGCATAGAAGGCACACACATTTCTGAAAGATTAAAGGTGAATGGGACACCATACAGTCTTGTGGACTTAACAGACATGCACACACGGAATCCATAGGTCTGCACAATTGTAACAATCCTAAAAGGCACCCTCAAATAGGGTTAGGCAACTTTGGTCCAGGAGGCCTACTATCCTGAAGAGTTTAGCACCAACCCTAATCAAACACTCCTACCTTTGGCTTTCTGGTGATCTTGAAAACAACGAATAGCTTCTTTGTGTTGGTTTGATTAGGGCAAGAGCTAAACTCTGCAAGGCAATGGCCCTCTATGACCAAAGTTCTCCATTACTGCCCTAAGCCCTTCTAGTCCTCATCTACGTCCACACTTTCATGCTGTGATCCCCCTGACTTTTGAAGAGAAATCTGCATGGGGCTCAGCAAAAATCGAGGGCATATAATGGCTGCAAAGAAAGACTGCAAAGATTTCTGAAATCTAAAATGACACATGGTCTTGTGGACTAAACAGACAAGTGCAGAGTCCACACTTCTGTGTTGTAATGCCAATGACTGCTAGGAAAATATATGTCCAGAGCTCACCTCAGAGTGCATCAAGGGTGCATAGTGGACCATTTGTGAGCACTCTTCCAAAATCTAAAATAAAGAATGGGACACCCTACACTCTCAGAAATAAAGGTACAGGAGCTGTCACTGGGGTGGTACATTTTCAAAAGGTATTTGAACTTGAAGGGTACATGTTAGTACCTTAAAAGTATATATTAGTACCTACAAATTTTAAGAGGAACACTTTTGTACTTTTTAGGCACTAATATGTACCCTTGAGGTATTAATATGGACCTTTTAAGAACAAATTTGTACCTTTTGAAAAGGTACCACCCCAGTGACAGCTTGCGTACCCTTATTTCTGAGAGTGTACGGTCTTGTGGATTTGACAGACAGCTGTACACAGCAGCCTTTTTAAGTCTGCAAACCTAACAGTGTAGATGGATGCCCAAAACCAAATAGTACCATAGTCTCTCGCGGTTTTCCACACTTTTGTGGCACTTTGACTGAAGCTAACAAAACACACATTAAAAAGTCTCATAGACTTAACAGCTTTGACTTACAACAGCTTTTGTAAGACTGCAAGAGTGCCATTTGGGATTTGACCCATACAGTAGGATATACCTTCATTTGACCATTATTACTAGTTTTTTTAATAATAACACAACAAATTACATATTAGGAATACAAATCAAAAGTTTCAATGTCTTATAAAAGGCATGCCTTCTCTGTTTTAAATATATATTGTGAAATGGAGAAACATGATTGTGTGCGTTTAAGTGCCTTTTATATTGGGCATTGTTTATAATCATGCCTCAAAGTGTGTATGTGTGTATGTTTATGCGTGTGTGTGACTGGGGAAGGTACACAGTTGTGGTGTCTTGTGATGTGCAAAGCTTAAATGTCAGAGTCCACCATTCAGCAGTGAGTAAGGTCCACAGAAATGCTGCTTGTTTTTCTCCTTTTCCCTGAATCCCCAGCGCTTAGGATACATTCTCAACACATCAGTGGGTATCCAAACTAGAAGTCTATTACCTCGAAAGGAAACTCTCTTTAGAAAACTCTAAAATATTGATAGCCTCTAATAATCCGCTGTATTGCTATGAGACACAGTTTCCTAATAAGGTGAGTGTATTCTTTTGGTCCATGCTCACTTTATTATTACTCGTTTGCACTGATATGTACCAAAATGCGCTGGAAAATTTGCGAACGATAGCTTTTTTTATAGATATATATATATGTGAGGTTGTGCACTGGGAGCAAATCAATGTTCAGCAGTAAGAGGTATTGCTACAGAGTCAGTTCAGTCTGTTGTTCAAAAACCAGCTTTTGTGTGTTTGGTGTCGAGAACACTATGGAGTAAACAACACTTGCGTAATTTAGTCATGGCACAATATGTGTGATGGTTTCCTGCGTGTCGTAAATCAAGTGTCTGATCTGCATTGTGATGCATGGATACATCAGAATAGACTAGAGAGAAGGGGGGTGGGCTTTGGTGTATTATTCAGATCATGAGAGAAGCAGTGACTGACCAAGGTCAATAGTCAAACAGTCAGACAGCGGTCTGTCGTTCTACTCTGTTTGGAACAGGCATCTCGTCCTCCCCCTCTCCCATTCTGTCCTCAGATATCCTTCTTTTCTAATCTCTCTTTCTTTCTCTCTCTCTCTCTCTCTCTCTCTTACTAGTTCAGTGCTTCACCAGAATGCCTGCTGTTAAACATTAGAATCAGTTTGTTTTCCTCCCAGAGTTTTGCATTTTAAAAATACAATTCCCAGAGTCCTTTGCTCAGAGGCTCAGTGTACATGTGTTTACATGCGCTGTGCATCCATAATGTCCAGGTACTTAGCCTCAATGATCCTGGGCAGTAGACAGTTCCTGAGAGAAAGTGAAAGTATGTTAATATCAAAGGGCTATTTAAAAAAAAAAAGTTTAATTTTATTCATATTTGAAATATTTTTATATGCCAGTGTGGTATAGCATGAAAACAAATTCTTTAAAATATCACATACATTTAAATTATTATGAGACTAATTATTTTGGGTTTTCAAATGAGAATTTTTTTTGTATTATTGAAAAACATTTTTTTTATTAACTTCTAGTACTTGTGTTACTCTAGTTACTTATTAGCATTGATATATATACAGTTGAAGTTAAAATTATTTGCCCCTTTTTGATTTTTTTTTTCTTTTTAAAATATTTGTTCAATTATGTGTACCAGGGCAAGGAAATCTTTACAGTATGTCTGATAATATTTTTTTTCTTTTGGAGAAAGTCTTAATTTGTTTTATTTCGGCTGGAATAAAAGCAGGACAAAATTATTAGCCCCTTTAAGCAATTTTTTTTTTTTTCCGATAGTCTACAGAACAAACCATCGTTATACAATAACTTGCCTTTAAAAGGCACTTTAAGCTGTATAGAGTGTCTTGAAGAATGTCTAATCAAATATTATTGACTGTCATCATGGCAAAGATAAAATAAATCAGTTATTAGAAATGAGTTATTAAAACTATTATGTTTAGAAATGGGTTGAAAAAAATCTTCTCTCAGTTAAACAGAAATTGGGGAAAAAATAAACAGGTGGGCTGATAATTCAGGGGGGCTAATAATTCTGACCTCAACTGTATGTACTGTCTGGTCCTCAAATCTGATATTGTCGGATACTGTGATAATCTGCAATAACAGCACTTTTACAGTCTCTTTACTCTTGTGTGTTACTTTATACAATACAGTTTGACAAACATTACAGCTGATGAACAACAAAATATACTATTAAAGCTTTTTAGGCAAGAATGTAGTTGTTTAGATTACAACTATGCAGTTTATTTATAAGGATAGTGCCTATTTTATATTTTCATAATTTTAGATTGGCGGCCATTAGCCTGTCATACTGAGCAGAGCAAAGCCAATTAACGTCACTTGCGACAGAAACCACATAATAATCCATAGGGGAGAAAAACTGCCTTTCAAACTACAGCTGAACAAATAATTCTATAACAGGTAAGTGACACTTAAAGTTGATCTCTCTCTCTTTTATATGTTGTGGTGCTGTATTTATACCATAGTAAACTGCTAGTGTTTGCTTTGCTTTGACTTGTTCTGGGTTAATTATTGTGAAATCCTAATTGCAACAGAGGAATACTGCATTGCCATTTAATGTCACTGAGCTTTATAATCTTAAAATGTGAGCAAAATCACCTGTTGTGTCATCACTTTAGACATTACGCTAGAAAATCATTAAAATACTAGCTCTAAAGTGACGTGTTTTTATGCAACGGCTTCTGCTGTTTTGACCGTCAAATGCAGATGTGATTGAATGCTGGAAAAAAGAGGTCCTTGTACAAAAGGATTTTTGAGACTCTCTATGTTTTTTTGTTTACACGATTATGCCATCAAACTGTTGTATAAAGGCAATGAGTAGCAGTGCGATATGGCAGTATGTTGTCACAGGTGGGACACTAAAGCACTCTGCCTCACCTCCCACCATATATATATATATATATATATATATATATATATATATATATATATATATATTTATTTATTTATTTTATTTTATTTTTTTAAAGAAAAGTATGGGTTTTGATCAACTTCAAATGTCGACTACTACTACATACACACACACAGACACACGCGCACGGTATTTTGTCTTTTATGAATCCGTCATTCATCATTCAGTAGCATGACCTTTTAGGAAACCATTTATTACTTGCGCACATATTCAATAACACACACACAACCACAGACACACACAAACACTAAACGCACCTGATGGGTATGAGGATAAACATTAGCAGAGGAAAGATCATCTTCATATACGGGAGCGGGTACATCCCAAACGCACAGAGGAACAGCAGCTGCACCATCTGAAGGAAAGTGAAGTAATGGATCTTCCTCTGCGGCACCTTGCGGATGTAGTGAGTGGGAGGATACGACGTCTGAGCAAGAGTCAAACACAAGACATACAGATGATGAAGAAAACTCTGACCTCTTACAATATAAGCCTCATACAGTGCACGTGTCTCCACATAAATCAAGTCCAAATCAGGGCTATATGCAAATATAATAGAGTTCATGCCCATGATTATGCTAATGGCGGACAGCTAATTTTTCTGCTCTCTTTGTCCCAAGGGGCAATTAGTATTTCAGTTTTGAGGCTGATACAGACTCATGTCTCAGCTATTATTGTGGATTAAGGCTCAGAAACCTCTAGATAGTGCTACGCATATATTTATAAGAAGCTCTTAATATATGTCGCCTGAATAACTAACTAGAAATACCGGAAGTTGACTACATTAGCCAAACAACTGACTTCTCAATTGGTAATACAAATTATTAACATAATATTATGTAATACACTTTATAGGTTTAATAGTACACATTAGGGCTGCATGATATTAGAAAAATTACATATTGCGATATACAGTTGAAGTCAGAATTATTTGTATCTCCCCCCACCCCTTTGAATTTTTTTCTTTTTTAAATATTTCTCAAATTATGTTTAATAGAGCAAGGAAACTTTCACAGTATGTCTGATAATATTTTTTATTTCTTCTAGAAAAAGTCTAATTTGTTTTATTTCAGACAAAATAAAAGCAGTTTAATTTTTTTTTAAATACCATTTTAAAGTTAAAATTATTAGCCCATTTAAGCTATATTTTTTTGATAGTCTACAGAATAAACCATCGTCAAACAATAACTTGCCTAATTATCCTAACCTGCCTACATAACGTAATTAGCCTAGTTAAGCCTTTAAATGTCACTTTAAGCTGTATAGAAGTGTCTTGAAAAATATCTAGTCAAATATTATTTACTGTCATCATGACAAAGATAAAATAAATCAGTTATTAGAAATGAGTTATTAAAACTATTACGTTTAGAAATGTGTTGAAAAAAATCTTCTCTCCGTCAAGCAGAAGTTGGGAAAAAAATAAACAGGAAGGCTAATAATTCAGAGGGGGCTAATAATTCTGACTTCAACTGTATATTGCGATATGAATACAATTTCGCTAAATGAGTTAAAATGAGTTAACTTATATAAATTATAATTTTAGATTGGGATGATTCTGTAGGGAAGTGCATAAAATATAACAAACAACCACATATAAATTAAATAAAGAAAAATATACAAAATATATAAAGAGTCAAACTGTGTTGCAAAAGTAAAATAATACTGCACATGTCTTTGTTTTATGTACAATTCAATAAAATTAATTGTTATACATTTTTTTAAGTTACAAACGGTACATTTTCTTATGCCTGAATGCTTTAAAACCCCTCACACAGTCAAAACACATGCAAAATGAAAAATGATCATTTAGACTCAACATTGCTTATACTCATGATGTGATTATTGCTAATAATTAGGGATAATCGGCCGATAAATGCTATTTTTAAGATTATCATTATCGATCCGATGTCATAATTAGGCCGATATATTTAAGCCGATAAATTACGTAATTGTACAGAACTGCCTGCCGCGCTCGCGTGGGCGGAACATGTTCAGACTTGTTCAGTGCATTCTAATGGATCTCTCCTCACACTGTTTATTTCTTCAAAGTCCGTCCTTTCTTCACGTTGTATTGCTGTGCGTTATTAACTCGGTAAGTAACCATGTTCCTCATTATTGTAGATGTGTTTGATTGAGTGTCATTGTGTATTTTGCATTAAATAGCCTCAGGAAAAGTATTACATGTGTAAACCTTTCCTGCTCTGTCTCTTTGTTGTGTTAGAGATAGCAGGGAGATTTACTTATTACTCCAGGGCCGAATAATATTAGTTTCGGGGTGAACTCTTTTCGTTGCAGCTGGTGAATGAAACAGGACACATGTAACTTGGTCCAAATTATTTATTACTTTCCGTGTGGTACAACAAATTAGTCACCAAAAAGGGAACATCACAGAAAATGGTCTCATTGTGAAAAAAAAACGCTCTTCTTTTCTCTCTCCCTCTCCCTGTCTCACACACCCCAAACTGCAGCCCAGTCCCGTTGAAGGACCCGCATATTTTACAACACATGTAAAACGGTTGTTAGTAATCTGCTTATTTGTTATTATCAACGCGTTGCTGGTCATGTGTTGTTGATGCAAGATGTATTCAGTTTGATCGGAATATTCATATTGATTATAACAAGCTCGCGTGAGAGCTGTCACCGCACACACACACACTGTTGCACGGGAGAGAGGTGAATCCAGTCAAAGGGGCTCTTAACTAGCCGCTCATTCTGTCTTTATATTCTGCTCTGTGTTTATCATAAAGTCAGCTCAATGCAGGTTTTGTATCAAAATCTGAATCTGATGGCAACTTTGCCTCTACAGTTAAGTGAAACTTTCAGCGGTTTATCATAAACTTTTCATCGGTTATTTTCCCGCGATTGACGGCAAGAACGAGCGCAGAACCGTTGTCTGATTGACAAGCAGCTCCTACATGTGACATGTCAAAACGCCAAATAGGATGAATCTGTGCCGCATTTTCTAGACGTACTCTCTGTATTTAGCTGTTGGCTTGTACGGTGGCTCTGAAATGTCAATACCATTTTGTTATTTAAACTATTATTTTTATGCAACAATCAACTTGCATGTTAATTTGTTATGAAGAAAAGGAAATATTTTTTTGCATGCAGATTTATGTGAAATCATGAATATAGGTCTGAATATAGGTTTTTGCTTTAAGTATAGACTATTCAGTTCATGAGAGCAGTTCAATCTTTTATTAAGTTTGCTGTATAAAAATATAACAATTTAAAATATTTATAATTATCGGCCTATACATATCGGCTATCGGCCTCCAAGTCTGAAGAAATATCAGTTATCGGTATCGGCCAAAAAATCCATATCGGTGCATCCCTACTAATAATCTCATTGCGATATCGATGTGAAACGATATATTGTGCAGCCCATCCCTAGAAAAGCCATTTACACACACGTTTGCCAGGATCAGCAGGCCAGCGCAGAAACGCTATTGGAAATACTGGAGCAAAATAAATTTTAATATTTTAAGGACATGGCGCAGAAATTTAATGCATTGCTTCCTGTACATTCTGTGACCCACTTTACAGTGTATATCAATTAGGCAGTGAACATCACTGATTTTTAAAGAAAATTTAAAAATAGATTTTGTAAAGGCATACAGCCCACCAGAAGTGTTTGATCCAGGCTACTGACAAATTAAAAGTCATTCTGCTACTTCTGCCTATGCCCTATTGCGTGAAACCCAGCATTTTTTACAGTGTATAAACAAGCTTTTTTCTTGTGTTAATTTTTTTGCATCTAATAATTCATTTTGTTTCAACTCCTATACATTTACTATATAAAAAAATACTTATAAACACTTTAATTATTACAGTAAAAGAAAATGAATGAAAAATATGTATAATGTAATGTTAATGTTAAGCAAGTATTTTACTTTAAACATACTCACAAATATCTCTGTCAGTGTTTTCTAACAACTATATTTGATTTACTTAAGTCACACAAGTGGAAATTTCACATCTGTCACATTCATAACGAAGAGATGTCACATTTATAACCAAGCTTTTCTCTCATAAATGCAAACTAATGGCCCTGGAAACTAATAAATGCTGGAATGGCTCTGCAACTGGACTCCAAGTACAAACTAACGTTATACTTCATCATTGTGCTCTCTGGATGTGCATAAAAGGCTTTCTGTATGTTATAGTTTAGTATATGTATAGTTAAAAAGCCCACCGACTGCATTTACCCTATCATTTACACAGTTGTAATGTATGCATCTCAGACCACATCCCGATTCATCTCAAACAAATCTTGGGGGACATTTAAGCTTGTCTTAATCAGTAAATGCATGACTGGATCCTGTGACATTTCCTCACAGGACAGGTAGAGGGCGCTCTGCTGCTTCATTTGCACATCACTCTCTCTCTCTCTCTCTCTCTCCTGTGTTTGTATTTGTGCAACATCTATGACTTTTATTTGCCTTTGTTTTGATCAAAAACACACACACACACACACACACACTCACTTGTTCTTTGAGGAGCAGAGCCATGCGGTCGCACATCTGATTGCCTTCAATGGAGGTGAGAGCGATGTAGAGAAAGAGCCCATAGAGCACAGGTTTGGGGATCCACTGCAGGGGCACCGGCAGCAGAAACACACTCACACCGATCAGGATGTTTGCCACGAGAGAGGTCACCCGCGTCTCCTTCACACTCACTATACTACACACACACACAGAAGCGCCATTTAAAGGGGACATTTCAGTAAAATATCACGTTTTTTTCTGTTCAAGTGCTATAATCGGGTACATCTAGCAATCAAGAACATGGGAAAAGGACAAACAGGTAACTTTGTCTTTTTTTTGCACACATGTAGAACAACAAGCTTCTCGGATTTCACTACCCTAGTGATGTCGAAGGGATTAAAATAAATACAGTACTGCTACAGCCATCCGTCATTTTTGTTTAATCACTGAAGCAGCTTGAGGTTTACAATGTCTGCACCAGATAAAAAACAATACAAATGTTCTGTTTTTGGAAGTAAATATAAAGCAGGTTCACACCAAATGCAAAGAGAACACATGTCGTATCACTCGCTCTAGTTTACTCACAAGTTGTGTTTTCCCCACACATTTGCGTATTCAACATTATTCGTATGCCTGTCAAGCTTCCCGTTTTTCCGTTATTCTCCTGTTACATACCATTCTATCATGCTGTTAAACTATTTTCTTGTATATTTCCCATAATTTTAATCTGTCTATGAATAAACATGGTGGCTCAGTGGTTAGCACCATCGCTAGAGGTCAGCTAGAAGGGCGCTGGTTTGAGTCCCAGCTGGCTAAGTTAGCATTTCTGTGTGGAGTTTGCATGTTCTCCTAAACTAAAATTTATGTGTGTGAATGAGAGTGTATGGGTGTTTCCCAGTGATGGTTTGCAGCTGGAAGGACATCCGCTAAGTGAAACATATGCTGGAAAAGTTGGTGGTTCATTCCGCTGTGGTGACCCCTGATGAATAAAGGCGAATAAGCCAAAGGAAAATAAATGAATGAATGATGAATAAACATCATCAAAGAGCAGGTTCTCCCTATACGCATAGTACTGCCGAACCACCAGGGGGCGCCCATTTCTTTTAAATGTGAAGAGCTGTTCAAGAGAATTATAAATATAAAAATGGCTGCATTCCCTTTCTTTCCAATACAGCCATGCGCTGTTAGTGGTATCTCTTATTTTCACATTAAATGTTGACAGATATGATCAATCAAGCCGCCTAGAAAAAAATCACCTTTATTCATTAGCCCATTTCACACATCAGACCTTTCTGGAAAATTACCGTCAATTTTCCGGAAAGGTATCATGTGTGAACAGGCCCTTTTTGACAATACCAGTAAATTCATTCAGGCAATTTTCCAAAAAGAGAAAGTGTAACATTACCGGTGATTTGTCGGAATGCTGCTGTACATCCGTGCCGTTAGTCAAATAACGTTTCTATATTCAATATTAATGCCAACTGCGGCAAAAATTATTACTAAATGCTGCTGATAAACCGCTGTTTGTTTACCTTCAAGCTCTGCTTCAGCTGAGTGATGTGTGTGCACGTGAAGAAGTGCTCCGGGGAGCGCCAGCACAAACACATTTTACGTACATCTCGACATTCAAAGTGTTCCTCTATGTTTAGCCGTTTAGAGGTCATTCCTGGTTAATGTGTCAGAATTTACTGGTATTTTGGAATGGATGTGTCAATGGTCATTTCCGGAACGTCCTTGCCTGTGTTGTCAGCGCTTTTTTTAATTTACCAGTAAAGTCATTCCAGAAATTTTCCAGATTTACCGGTATCATAGTGTGAAAGGGGCTAATGACTTTGTAAACAATTTGCTCGCGTGAATACTTCAATTTACATTTGGTGTGAACCCAAAATAAATGGCTCCATAGACTCCCAACATTCAAGCCAATGAGGACATTGTAGTTGACTTTTATTTTTGAAGAAAACGTGCCAAAGAATGTTAGTTTATGCAAAATACATTTTATGCCAGACTGCTACACCAGTTCAACACTGTTTTTGAAGGACGAGTCAACACCAACACTGCTGTGTTTTGATTTCATAATCAAAATTCCAAAATGCACAATTTGCGAATTTCAAAAAATGCCCATTTATTATAAAATGAATAGTCTGGTGACAAACTTTCAAAGGCATAGTTCAACCAAAACTGAAAATTCTGTCATAATTTTGTCACCTTTTTCCAAACCTGTTTGACTTTCTTACTTTTGTTGAACATTAAAGAAGATATTTAGAAGAAAGTTGGAAACCTGTAACCATTGACCTCTATAGTATTTGTTTTTCCTACTATGAAACTGAATTGTGACAATTTTTCAGCTTTCTTCAAAATATTTTCTTTTGTGTTAAACATAATAAAAACTCATAAAGGTTTGGAACCACTAGCAAGCATTCAGTGAGTAAATTTAAAAAAAGTTTAATTTTGGGGTAAACTATCCCTTTAAAACGTTCTTTAATAATAAGAGAATCTTTTTACAATGTTTAATTACAAACGCCACACATCTAAACAGAAACAACAACATGTTGATGTGTTTAATTTGCTTAATTATCCTTATAGACCATTTTGAGGGATGTAAACAAAAACAATGGTCCCAACGTATTTCCTGTTTATATTTTTAATTTCTATCACTTCTGAGAATCCAAAAAGAGCAACATATTGATAAATAACGTTATAAAAGCTGTTTTATTATCAAGTTATGATTGAATTGCCTCTTGTTAAAGTTATGAAATAGTTTGATAACTAAAAGGAAATGTTCATGGGTCAATGAGATGTCTATAGTCAAATTAACTGTTTGGAAATGTCCTGATTTAAGTTTCCACCTCTTTCTCACCATCTTTCTCACCTTTTTTTTTGCATTAATTTGGCTGCAGATTCAGCTGTTTTGTTGTTTCTGTCAGAACAGCGCATAAAGGCTCCACCCTCTTCTGGAAAGCAGCAGCTCATTTGCATTTAAATGGACGCACATCAAAAATGTGTGCTTTTGCTTACACCAAGAGAGTGGCAAATTTGACTAGGCTATAGGTATGTTTTGAGCTGAAATTTCTGTGGACAGCAGAGATTTATATTACATCTTAAAGAAAACAGGGATAACATCCGGAAAACTGAGTGACGTTTGTGCTGCTCCGACTGATTGCGGCTGTGATTGTTTGCGAGCACAGGGCTTGTTTGTGTGCAGTGTGTGTGCTCACGTCTCGTAAAGGTGTCCTCCCTCCACCCGCTCCTCCACGATGGCCAGCTGTCGCACGTGCAGAGTGGAGTGTGGGAAGGCAGCGTGCATCCACGGCAAGCCCAGCACAGACATCAAAATATTAATCAAGCCAGACAGAGTCAGGTCCCAGTGATACGCCGTGCCCTTCAGTAACCTGTGGCAAACACACACACACACAGTGTCAGGACTCTAAGACCACAGTCTGATCTGCTTTCTTAACCAAGTGCAAAGTGAATTTGTGGTGAATTTTAATCATAATATGCAATATGTATTTTTCTTTTTAATATAGAAGAATAAGATTTCAACATTTAAAGAGCTATGAATTGTTATCTAATAATGTACAACCCAACAAAAGAATGAATTTATTTATTTAAATTAAACTGATCAAAAGTGATAGTAAAAACACTTACAATATTACAAAATGGTTTACCAAATACACTTTGTTCTTCTGAACTTTCTGTTTATCAAAGAACGCTGAAAAAAAGATTTTTAAAGATTCCTTCAAGATTTTGAAGGGTCATTTCAAAAATGATATAAAAGAATCTGTAAAGTAAACCTGTAACCATTGACCTCCATGCTATCTGTTTTTTCAAATATGGATGTTAATGGTTTCAGATTTGCAATATGAATCATTGTGTCTTTTGTGTTCAATAGAACAAATAAAAAAAAAACTTTTTGGAACAAGTCAAGGATGTGTGAATGATTTAATTAAAATAAAATGAATAAAAATTTTTTGTGTAAACTATCCCTTTAATAAGCTCATGATTTTCTAACAATGATTATTAATAATCCCTGTGGTAACACTTTAGAATAATGGTTCATTAGTTAGTGTTAGTAAAGTTTTTAAATAAGCTAAGTATGAACTAAGTATGAATAATCTTGTAAAGCATTTATTAATCATGGTTCAACATGAACTAAAGCATTATTAATATCTAAAGTTGTGCTTCATTAGTTAATGCACAGTGAGTTGTATATATACATGTATATATATATGTATATGTATATATACATATACATTGTATATAACTGTATATATACAGTTGAAGTCAGAATTATTAGTCCCTCTGAATTATTAGTGACCTGTTTATTTTTCCCCAATTTCTGTTTAACGGAGAGAACATTTTTTTCAACATTTCTAAACATAATAAATTAACAACTAATTTCTAGATAATATTTTATCTTTGCCATGATGAAAGTAAATAATATTTGACTAGATATTTTTTCAAGATACTTCTATACAGCTTAAAGTGACATTTAAAGTCTTAACTAGGTTCATTAGGTTAACTAGGCAGATTAGGGTATTCAGGCAAGTTATAGTATTGTTTGTTCTGGAGACTATCAAAAATAAATATAGCTTAATGGGCGAATAATTTTGACCTTAAAATGTTTTTCAAAAATTAAAAACTGCTTTTATTCTAGCCAAAATAAAACAAATAAAACTATCTCCAGAAGAAAAAATATTATAGGAGATACTGTAAAAATGTCATTCCTCTCTTAAACCTAATTTGGGAAATATAAAAAAATAAAAATAAAAATTCAAAGAGGGGCTAATAATTCTGTATATGTAAAAATATTTGTAGTCTGTAGGTTTGAATTCAAGTTGGGTAAATTTTAGTAATCTGTATATAATTCTCATATGAGAGGAAACTTATTTCTAGAGACCTGTTTTCGGGTGCATTTGTGAGTGAAACTACGATGTTCTGGTCAATGAAGATGAGGAGAAAGAGGAGGAAGCCTAGACCCATCGCACTGAGGACACTCGCTCCTGTCAGCTTATCCAAAGGGGCTACTTGAAACACCGGACCTTCATGGAAGTTAAACACCGGCACTGGAAAAGAGAATATGACACACAAACCATTACAAACTCTCTAATAAACAGACCATCCACCACACTGTGATTAAATTGATAGTATACACTGAGTCAGAACTGATTTTTTTTTCTTTTTAGCAGCAAAATCTCTATTGCTTATTTAGAAAAAAAGCTACAGAAAAAAAGGGCACGAACCAAGATGTCCAAAGCATTCATTATGCTACTGAGTATTAAAAACTTCAAAGAGGATCATAAGCGTAGAGTTTCATGTGGCGGGGCTGCCTTTATTTTTACTCATATACTCTTATCTATAAATGGTTTCAAAGTGAAGCAAGACAATTTGTCTTAACTAAGCAAGTCAGGAAGTGTCATTTGTTTTTGGATGTTTAAAATTCTGGCTAAAACTGACTGCTTTTAAATCAAATATTAAAACCATAATTAATATTAAAAGTGGTGATATTTTTATAGGAGCTGTAGAAAGATTAAATGAATTATCTTACATTTATAGGAAACAAGACAAAACAAAAACATCAATGTTCATGAAAAGGTATGAAGGAGTTTTGTCTACTTTTATTTATTTTGTTTTCCTAATAATGCTCTGTGGTCATACACATATGCAAAAACACAATGCTTTGTTGTCTGAAACTTTTAGACCAGGGGTCACCAATCTCGGTCCTGGAGGGCCGATGTACCTGCAGGGTTTAGCTCCAACTTGCCTCAACACACCTGCCTGGGTGTTTCAAGTATACCTAGTAAGATCTTGATTAGCTTGTTTAGGTAAATTTGATTAGGGTTGGAGCTAAAATCTGCAGGGCACCGGCCCTCCAGGAACAAGTTTGGTGATCCCAGTTTTAAAGCATTTTAAGATTAGTTGGTTGGCTGGCTGGCAGGCTGGTTGGTAGGTAGGTTGGTAGGTACAGTAGGTTGGTCGGTCGATTGATTGCATTCATTTGAATGTGCAATTATCTTTCAAAAGTTAAGTTTTGGCCACAAGGAAACATAACTATTTTAGATTTTGACAGTTTAGCAGCTAAACTGTTTATAATTTGGACAAATTCATATTCAGGCGTACGAAAATGTACGAATTTTAAAAAGAAGGTGTGGCACCAAACTTCACCACTAAACCCACGGATTGGGTTGTCATTGGGAGATAAGCAAATCATAATAAAAATTCATAGAGTTCAAAGAAATTCATAGTCAAAATGATTTGAATTGGTTTAAGATCTGTAATAACTGCTTTTGGACTATGTTTTATAAACCTTTAGTTGTGAGCAAAATTCATTTATTCATTTTTTTCCGGCTTTGTCCTCTTAATCAGGGCTGCCATCTTTTGGTTTTAGCTTGGAGTGGGAATTTTTGCCCTGCCCCTATGACTCAAGCCATGCCCCCACACAACGCCACGCCCCCATTTATTTTTATACATATATATAGATTGTAAAAATATAATTTTAATAAATATTTTTTAGAAAATATTTATTATAAATAAGAGTATTATCACTGTTTTACGATTATTCTGTTTTAAATAAATAAAAGAAAAAAATCTATTCTAAATGTAACTAATGTAACTGAAGTGATATGCAAAGATCAATTAAGAAATCTTTTGTATAAATATATTAAATTCACGACAGCATAGGGTCTCAGTGGTTAGCACTGTGACCTCACAGCAAGAAGGTCACTGGTGTAAGTCCCAGCTGGTCCAGTTGGCGTTTCTGTGTGGAGTTTGCATGTTCTCCCTGTTTTGCCGGGGGTTTCTTCCAGGTGCTCTGGTTTCCTCTACAAGTCCAAACACATGTGCTATAGGGTAATTGATGAACTGAATTGGCCATAGTGTATGAGTGTGTGTGTATAAGAGTGTGTATGGGTGTTTCCCAGTACTAGGTTGTGGCTGGAAGGGCATCTGCAGCATAAAACATTTGCCAGAACACCTGGCAGTTCATTACGCTGTGGCAACCTCGAAAATAGAGACTAAGCTGAAGGAAGATAAATAATTAAATATGAATTTCATAAGAATTAAATTCTATAGACAATTGTATAGAACACAAAAATATGTTTTGTAGAATTATGTGTTGTGTTGTCTTAGACTCGACTCAGGGCCATAAATTAGGTTTATTAAGTCTAAATTCCCTGAATTCATCCTTCCTTTCTGCTTCATACAAAAATCTATCGGGCTATACTTAGTCAAAATAAGATCATCATCATACTATTTAAACTTTAGTTTCGCCGACTTCCAAAACTCACAGCGTACCGACACCTGTACATTAAAAGCAGATACCCCTGCCATAAAATCCACCACCTCTGAAATGCGCATCTATTGACTTAAATTGATCATTTTTTAATAACAGCATTATGATACTAATTAGAGTGAACCCATCCCTTATAGAAGATTACAGATTTGTTTTTTACACTTATTTGTAAACCTAGTGCGTTTTAAAATGCGTTTCACTTACTGTTTTTGCTTTTTTTCCATCAAGATATAATCATATTACTTTTTAATCAGTTATGGCCTTTGATTTAATGAATGAGATTCCCAATGAAAGTCTATGAAAGCCGCCGATCTCACAGCAAAGGTGCGTTTCTCGGCACAACACCTGTAGCACAACGCAAAAGCGGTGTGTGAGCAGCGAACATTTTTTTCGGCATGCATGTTCAAAACTGAGATCCATACTGTGAGTGGGAACATGAGCAGCATGTCAACGTCAAGCAGGAGCAGTGCGATAGGCGCACAGGTATGTTTTCTGCGCACATGCGTCAGTTTGTTTTTGATTACATTACTTTCACCAGCATTGGTTTGGTTGCACATAGAGAATAACACCTTTAAATAACGCTAAAAGTCTTTAAAACCATCTTTATTATAACGGGAAAAAATATTTCACTGGGATGATTTTTCTGCGTGAGAAAATAGATGTGTGGCCTGAGAGCGTGAGAATACTATTCAATTGTGTGACTAGTTGGCAGCCCTGCCCTTTATTAATCTGTGGTCACCACAGCGGAATGAACCACCAACTTATACAGCATATGTATTGTGCTGCGGATGACCTTCCAGCTTTGTGAGCAAAAGTTATTTTTGTAATATCGTGCATGAAATAATAGAACCAAAATGTTTTATTTTTAAATGCATGTAGCATTTCCCCATATCTAACACATTTTTATGAGCGGTGTGGCTGTGATTGTGTCTATGGTGGTAGTGGCATCACCTAGCTCGGCCCTTGATTATGTGTACAGTAAATAAAAAATAAAAAACATCACAGCGTTAAACATTAATAATCTCATTTTACATTTATGGCAGCTAAATTATTATTAATCTAATGATTTTTTGTTGCTTTAAAACTTTTCAGACTGTTTTTATTTAGTTTGGAATAAATAGGTAATCCACATGAACAATTTAAAATGTTGGTTTGGTTCATGTGTAATTTGAAATTTAAAAGAATTTCAGTTTTTGAGTAATAAAAACATGTAAGTACCATGGTAATCTTCAAATCTTGGATTTTTCCCTCACATTTGATCATTAATAATAAGATGTAAATAGAATAAAGTATGGCTGTAGCTTAAAAAATATTTAGTTATGATTGCTGTATAAGTGAGATTTTTTTATAAACTAATTTTGAGAGGATCATGTGCTTACCCTAAGTTCCATATAACAGCCATCTTCGTTATGAGGACCCCACCCTCCACCCCTACTCCTTCTTTCCTAGATGGGTGGCACGGTGGCCCAGTGTTTAGCTCTGTTGCCTCACAGCAAGAATGTCACTGGTTCTAGTCCTTACCAAGCCAGCCGACATTTCTGTGCAGAGTTTACATGTTCTCCCCGTGCTCACGTGGGTTTCCCTAAACATACAACTCAAGTTAATTGACTAATTCAGATCGGCACCATAGACTTACGCCTAGTAAGTAGTTATCTCTTAAGAGCAATCACTATCTGTTCATTAGCTGCTACAGCAGGGAAGTTCTCAAGATCTACCTGAGCTCAACCTGTAATGGGTTGAGTCCTGTGTTCAAGGATCTTACAAGCTCAGGGCTCTCTTCCGGGACAGCATGCTAAACACGCTTTATAATCTATCATCTGCTAAGTGTGAACTCTTGAAAATTGTTTAAATGCAAAACATGTAAATTTACAGATTTTAAATGCATCATGAAAGCTACAATTCCTTTATATTGTAATGCTTAAAAGGTCTGCACATTGATATTTGTAAAATTAGTCCAAATGTACACATATTTTAGAAGAAAAATATTTTGCTGGATGTGGAAATGCAGATAAATGAGGTGAACACAGTATATGTAAGCACACCACACCGGTGCAAATGTTTGGGACAATTTCTGCAAAATCAGCCTTTTATAGAAAGGCTGCGATTTGATCTAATTGTGAATATGAGCCTCTTCTGAGTGAATGTTTAAAGTGCCTGAGGTAAGAAGTCAAATCTCACTCTGATAACAAAGTTAAACTCCCACACCGAACTGATGAACGGCAGACGAGCCCCAGGAATAATGTACTGATAGTCGGAGCGAGTGGTTTTGCTGTGCTGTGCTGGCATTAAGAAAAGGAAAGAACAGGCAGTGTGTGTATGTGTGTGTCTGTGTGTTTATTGGTGGGGTATCCACTTTGGCAAGCCTTCTTAAACACAATCTGAGCCAAAAATTTGACTAATTCTCTTAAATCTTCACTGCTATTTGCATGTCATTTTCAAATTGCTACTAGAAATGCTGCATTTTTGACATGTTGAAGATAATCCAGCAATATGATTAAGACATTTACATAATAAAGGTGCTTTATCATTATGAATGCTTTTGATTTTCTCTGCTTAAAATCTAACATGAATTGACTCACAAAAAAAAAAAACATTAACAGGATCGAAACAAAAGCACGACTATTATATAAGTATAACTGAAAACTAAATAGTGAAATGAATACAATTAAAATAAACAAACCATGTATTATTTTTTTATAAAATAAAAACATAAAATAAACCAAAAAAAAAAAAAAAATGTCTTTGGCTTGATATTGCAAAAAATACAAATAAAAAAATAAAAAAAACATCAATAAAATAAATAAAAAATAAATAAATAAAATGCACATAAAAAGCTAATATATTGAAATAAAATAAATATAATAATATATTATATTATAACATAATATAATATAATATAATATAATATAATATAATATAATATGATATGATATAATATAATATAATATAATATAATATAATATAATATAATATAATATAATATAATATAATATAATATGCACATAAAATAACAAAAGGCACCTATCATGCTGGTTATTTTATGCAAAAGAAAAACATTTCTGAAGAACAACCCATTTATTTAAATGGGTTAAAAATAAAAGAAATATTTTTTAATAAAAAATACAATAAATTAGCAAAAAAATAAAATAAACGCATAAAATAACATAAATTTAAAATGCTTCATATTTTATGCAAAATAACAACAATAATAATAATAATAATAATAATAATAATAATAAATAAATAAAAAAATCAGTAAAGTTATCTGGAGAACAACCCATTTATTTACATGGGTTAAAATAAAATTAAATAAAAATAAAAATAAAATAAAATATAATATAATAAAATGTGCACATAAAAATAACAAAAGCAACCCATTTTGGTTGATATTACCAATAAATAAATAGAAAGATGAGTATCCTTCAAAAATTAGGAAAACTAAAGATTTCAAGTACCTTGCCCATACATATATACAGTTGAAGTCAGAATTATTTTTAGCCCCCCTGAATTATTAGCTCCTGTTTATTTTTCCCCAATTTCTGTTTAACGGAGAGAAGACTTTTTCAGCTCATTTCTAAACATAATAGTTTTAATAACTCATTTCTAACAAATGAATTATTTTATATTTGCCATGATGACAGTACATAATATTTTACTAGATTATTTAATAGATATCTTATAGCTTAAAGTGACATTTAAAGGCTTAACTAGGTTAATTAGGTTAACTAGGCAGGTTAGGGTAATTAGGCAAGTTATTGTATAACGGTAGTTTGTTCTGTAGACTATCGAAAAAAAATATAGCTTAAAAGGGCTAATAATTTCGATTTTTTTTTTTATTTAAATTTAAAAAAATTAAGAACTGCTTTTATTCTAGCCAAAATAAAACAAATAAGACTTTCTCCAGAAGAAAAAATATTATCAGAGATACTGTGAAAATTTCCCTGCTCTGTTAAACATCAAAAAAAATAAATAAATAAAAATCAAAAAGTCAAAGGGGGGCTAATAATTCTGACTTCAACTATATATATATATATATATATATATATATATATATATATATATATATATATATATATATATACAATTAAAATAAACAAATATATAACATCCAGTGATGTGGCTACAACAGATTAAGTAGCCGAGATTAAAACTATATTGACTAGCTGTAATGTTAGATGTTAGCACATGAGTGTTAGTGTCAGAATGTGTGCAACACAAATACCAACACAAACGGTGTGACAGACTCACAGGCAATGTCGTTGAAGACGTAAGATCCCACATAGGAGAAGACGAGCACGGAGATGGGCAGAGCACAGTCAGACAGAATCTCTCTCATCTTCACATGCAGAAATGGACTGCCGGGAGAAAATGCAAAGAAGCGACTGTCAAAACAGTCTTCTAACACTCTTTAAGGAGAGACACTGCAGGTAAAACTGCTTTTTGAAGCAGCTGTCATATTTTTGGCCTTCTAATGCAGTGATTTTTAAAGCTCAATAAAAATAAATCATCCAAAAATAATCCTTTTATTGAACAATATGAATTTTTATCTGTAGAGTTTAATTACGAACCATATTTTTAAATGTCATTGTCTCAATATGTTTTTTTTTTCTACAGTACTGAGCCATGAATCATTTCAGCAGCTCCTACATACACTAAAATGTGCAGTTTTATGCATAACTCTTTTATTCATAACATGTTTTTATAGAGAGATTTGTACATACATCATTTGTCTGACCATATACAACAGTTTAATATTTAACATTTAGAAACTTGTAGAGTTAATATTTTTATCATTCATACATTTTTCTTCGGGTTAGTACCTTTAATCATCAGGGGTCCAGCATATGTTTTACACAATGGATAGCCTTCCAGCTGCAACCCATCACTGGGAAACACCCATAAGCTCTAATTCACACATATACACTACGGCCAATTTAGTTTACTCAATTACCCTATAGTGCATGTTTTTGAACTGTGGGGAAAACTGGAGCACCAGGAGGAAACCCACACAAGCACAGGGAGAACATGCAAACTCCACACAGAAATGCCAATTGACCCTGCTGGGACTTGAACCAGTTACCTTCTTGCTGTGAGCCAATAGTGCTAATCACTGAGCCACTGACCTGTCCACATTTAGAAACTTGTGGATTTTTATTTTTGCAAAAAAAATATTTTATGATTGCAGTATTTTCTGAAAAGTGATAAAAAAAGATTTCAAAATGCCCTTTGTAAAAATCTTTGGCTCATTTATGTAAAAATAAATAAATAAATAAATAAGGAGCGGCGCGGTGGTGCAAGGGGTAGCACTGTCACTGCACAACAAGATGGTCACTGGTTCGCGCCTCGGCGGGGCCAGTTGGCATTTTTGTGTGGAGTTTGCCTGTTCTTTCAGTGTTCGTGTGGGTTTCCACCGGGTGTTCCGGTTTACCCCACAAGTCTAAAGATGTGATATAGGTGAATAGAGTAAGCTAAATTGTCCTTAGTGTATATGTGTGAATTAGAGTTTATGGGTGTTTCCCAGTGATGGGTTGCAGCTGGAAGGCCATCCATTGCTTAAAACATATGCTGAATAAGTTGGTGGTTTATTCCGCTGTGGAGACCCAAGATTAATAAAGGGACTAAGCTGAAAAGAAAATAAATAAATAAAACAAGAATTTTAAACCTGACCTCACCCAAATGTTTTTTTTTTGTGCTAGACATATATTTTATATACAAATTAGCACACATTTAATTTAATAAAGCCAAATTTGCATACATAAACAGAGTAACATTTTTAAAAAAACGTGTTATATCAAAATATTAGTGATTTTGGTAACACAATAAAATAACTAATAACACTTGGATCATTATTCTAAAGTGCTACCGTTGTTTTTTTTAACCCTCTTCACCTTCACTTGTGTGTGTGTACATGTGTAGCTTGTACTCCTTATGTTGTGGGAACCAAATGTCCCCACAAGTATAGCATTAGCAGTCAATTTGAACCTTGTGGGTCATTTTTTGGTTTCCATGAGAAAAATGCTCATAAATCTTATTTATAAAGTGTAAAAATGCAGATTGTTTCCTGTGAGGTTTGGTTTTAAGTGTAGGGTTGGGGTAGGGGAACAGAATCAAAGTCTGTACAGTACAAACATCATCACATCTATGGGAAGTCCACAGAAACATAGCTGTACAAGTGTGTGTGTACTACTTTATATGATATAGAATTGTAACACAAGGGTAAATTGTACAATGACATGGGTATGACCAACTTGTACTATATAAAGGAGACTTACAAGGACATGATACATTTCTTCATTGTTCAAAATGCTTAAAAAAACGTAACTAACAGGGCCTTTTGACATCAATATTTGCTGTTTTATGTGAAGTTTGGATTTAGGGGTAAGGTTAGGACATATAATACGTTTTTTTTTTTTTTTTGCATTTGTGCATTATGCCAATGGAGAGTCCACATAAACCACATATACAAGTATGTGTGTGGAATGGGGGGATCTGCTCACCTTCTCCTGAACTGGTAGAGAGTGTATCCCACCCACAGTGTGCCCATCATGAGCAGCAGGCAGAGGAGCGGTCGTGCCCGTGTGCACAGAATGAAGGATTCTGGGAGAGATACGGGTCCGGCCTCGGTCTGGTTCAGCTCTCCTAAATGGACACTGCCGCTGATGCGGTTCAGCTCCGCCGCGCTCCCGTTGGCCAGAGTGGGGGCGTGATAATTATCGTGAAAGACTGTGGAAGAACATCTCAAGATCACCATTCATATACTGCAAAAGCAGGTCAAAATGAGTGTAGAGCATACAGTGTATGTGTGCCTAGAAGCAGTGTTTACATTGTGTTACATATTTACATTTACATTACATGGACCTGTGTTTTTCTGAATAAATGTTAAAAAGAAACACTGACAAAAAAGAATTAGGTAATTCTCCTTTATAGACAAAATCACTTGGTTTGAAGTCAAACAACTGATAAACTTTACTACTAAAATTATTTTAGTAAATTTATATAACAATGATTAAAAACTTCAATATATTCAGTATTTTGGAATTATTCTTTGACTGCTTAAAAAGTGCAATATATTTAAGTTTAAAATCAACATTTACTATATATTTTATTATACAAAATATTATGCGTAACATTGTATAAAATACATTCGATTTAAGGATTTTCAAAGCATAACATCTTTTCTGCACAACATCTGTATTGAATAACTGGTTTAAACACGTTACATGTTATTATTCATTCATTCATTCACTCATTCCAAATTCTGATCACAATTAATGACTGTTTAGTTATAGAAATTTTATGGAATTTTGTTTACTACTAATAGTATCAACCAATACTTTTTGCTGATATTTACGATTACTCAAAGAAAAAAAATGATGTGATGATGTGTTTTTAGCAGGGAGTTTTCAGCCACTGGAAATTATCAACCAAACATAGCATTGTCAAGTTGACACACCAGGGGCCTCATGTATCAACGCTGCGTACGCACAAAAACTTTGCGTACGCCAGGTTTCACGCTCAGAATCGCTCACGTTTGGATTTACTAACAATGAACTGAACGTGGGAATGTGCGCAGCTTCACGGCAGCTTTCTGGCAGGCGTACGCACATTTTTTTGTACGTGTCTGTTTTATTTCCATTGGTGACTCCTAGAGGCAGTTGTGTTAAATTCCTCTCTACAAAGTGTCTGAGCCTTGCAATGGCAGCTGTATGATACGGGTTCAGCAGGTATATAAGGTTTCCATACCATACATTTGACCAGCTAAACATTAAAGCACAATTTGCAGCAGTCGCCTGTTTTCCCAATGTAATCTGCACATTGCTATAAAGACACTATCTGAAGATGAATTTGCATGCGTAAATCAGAAACATTTCCATTCAATAAATGTGCAAATACAATATGATGCTTATTGATATGAACTTATTGATGATTCCTACTTGTCTTTCTCATGATAAATAGTTGGCAAAATCTGATATGTAGCGGGGGAAAAAACAAGAAAGAGTTCATCAGACGCTGGATTCGAGCCGAGTTCATGCTCGAACGTGTCAAGTCATGATCACATGCGTCTTACGAGTAGCGCCACTGAGACTGTTAAGCGTCCTGCAACATTTTACAGATATAAACCACACTATTTCTTTTATTAATGCACTCAGTGCGATGTTCAGACCCAACTGTGTTAACCGCATCAGCTAAACTCTCCCACTCTATTCTCTACTCTACTCTATTAATCATTTTTTCTTTTGTTGTTAACTCCGAAGAACAAACTTGCAAATAACACCGCTTTTCTCCGGTCTACCTCCGAAAGCAGCACCTCCAATTCACATTCTGTTCAAAGTTTCTCTTTTTGCTTGCTTTTGCCATTGCTTTTTCGTTGGGTTTTGCCATTAGCATAGTCATTAGCATATTCATACGGGGGAGGAGGCAGGGAGGGGTTTTGTGCTCGTGCATGTTGCGCTCAGTTTCACGTTCATTTAGATGTACAAAAGAATATGCGTGAGATTCGGCGTACGCAGTGTTTCATACATCTGAATTTTTTTCTGCGTACGCACATTTACAGCTTTGTGCGTACGCAATGTTTTAGTAAGATTTCCACGCAAGTCTTCGTACATGAGGCCCCAGATGCGGAAAGCAGTGTGCTATAAAACCTATTTATTTTATTTTTTACATAAGCGCCTAAATGAATGCGGTAGTGGTGGAAAAACAGGTGGGAGGAAAAGTAATTGGGTGGAAGGAAAAAAAACTTTTTTTTTACATGTATGCATTCTTTCGTACACTTTTTCTAGCAAACTTTTGCATTCTCTCGCAAAGATTCTTGCCTGCCATAGTAAAGATGTTTGCCTTCCATCAAAACTTTTGAGATCCCTCACAAAGATATTTAAATTCATATATACAAAGGACAAATTCTACATTTACAATACAATGACCAAATTAATTTGGTAACAAGTTGTATTAATATACTAAGATTATTAATACTACTTATTACGGTAGTTATGCAATAAACAAAAATGTGTATGCAAGCTTCCAATGCAAACATGGTGCTTGTAATTTTTGTTGCATGAAAAAATATAATTGTACTATTATGTACATAATGAAAATAATAATAGTCAGTATTATGTACTATTAAAAATACAGATACACTTTCAAAATCCTTGGTTTTTAGAAGAGCAGTCTTACAAACACAATAAAAAGATATACTCGTATTTTCAGAATTTGTTAATGTGTTAATTATTTATTTGAAATGAATTTCATTTAATTCAATTATTTTATTTGTTAATGTGTTAATAAATTATCTAAAACAAATTGAATTTAATTCAGGTTTTTGATTTGTGGGACTGAATACAGTTCACTGTAGTACATAATATAATAAGTATTCAGTAGCATACTCTGGGTTCATGCTTGCCTGTACAAAGAATAGACCTACAGTATATTTTGAACAAAATGTTTATAGAATTTAGTTTTTTTAATAGGCTCATCAGTCTAGTCTATTTGGTATAAGAAGTGGCTTATATGAAATACTTATATTTTACCAAAAAATAAATAATATTAAAGCATGTTTAAAGACGTCTGGAAAAACCAAGTTTATTCAGAGGGAAGGGCAGATTGTATCTAAAACCTCTCTAAATAGACGGCAAGGCTGTACATCTGAAGGACAAGGTGAGTTTCATCTGAGAAATTGTATTAAGTAGCTGAGAAAATGATACAGGCTGAAAATTTCTATAACTGCTGGATTGAGGGACCGAATTATAGTGATCTATGTTGGTGGGAAAGAGGTGTGATTTAATAACTTGTATTTTCTGAGCAAAAACGTCAGAGAACTTTATGCACGTCCCCAGATTGATAACAGGAACAGAGCATTCACTGAATTAATAGGTTAAAAAAGAACTTTTGGCTTACTTGCACTTTTAGTAATCAAATTTGAAAAATATTTAGATTTAGCCCCATTGAACGAGTCTTGATATGAATTTAAGCAGACTTTTAAAATCTGGTAGGAAACCTGAAGCCCATCCCTTTTCTACCTGTGCTCAGCCCTTCTGCACTCTTGCCTGAGAATACGGGTAGATGAATTTAACCAGGGCTGAGGAATTGAACTGACCCTAGACCTCTTCGATTTAAGAGGAGCAACTTCATTTAAGGCAAAATGACAAGTCAGCAAGTTGTTCAGTGTCTGAACAAGATGGCAAAGAAGCAGCAGCATTTGAAAGAAACTTGGTGTAAGAATTAGAAAACTCAAGAGCAGAATTTGCGTGGAAAACACAAGAGAGATTTCCACCCATGTATTGGGCAGCACAAATGTCTTGATGCCTCAGACTGTTGATGTTGCCATCCACTCTGCCGATTTCTTGCACTCATACTGAATGTAACCCCAAACCATGATTTATCCTTTTACAAACTTGACTAATCTCTATTAAAATCTAGGGTCCTTGAAGGTCTTCTGCAGTATTTGTGATGATTGGAATGCAGTTCAACACATGATTCAGCAGAAATATCAACCTTCTGCCACTTTTCAAAATGATTCACTAGAAGTGAAGTTATTATTTTTTGCTCCTTAAACTGGGATCGATGACAAGAAAGTTGTTTGTGAAACAACTTTTACTGCTAAAACTGTTAATATTAAAACAATGGGCCCTATCATACACCCGGCGCAATGTGGTGCAAGGCGCGGCGCAATACTTGTTTGCTAGTTTCAGCTTGGCACAATAGTCGTTTTGAGGCGTTGCACCACGCTCTTTATATAGCAAATGCATTTGCGCTCATATGTGCGCCCATAGGCGTTCTGGTCTAAAAAGAAAGGTGTTCTGAGGCGCACTGCAGGCGCGTTGCTATTTTGAGAAACTATAATAGATTTTTCATTAGACCAAAACAAACCCGGTCTAAACTCCAGCGCAGAGTTGTGCCTCGCTTACACACTGCTTAATCACCTACACACAAGATGTAGAGCAATACGCAAATATCTTTACATATGAAAAAATATTAAGGATATATATAGGATATAATACAAATATATATAGGATATAAATATAAAGGATAAAAATATTACAAAACATATTATTTTCTAGCCTACATAAATATGAAAAACCAGTTTTTTTTTTTTTGCCTTCTTCATCTCGGGAGGCTTTTTCAGTTATTATTTCAGTTTTTTTATTATTAGCAGTATTATTTATTATATCCATATTTATATTTGTTTTATTAAAAACAAGCTTAGATTTGCCCACCTGCAGGTTTTAGACCATATGGGCACAGCATGTGTTTTAGGATATAACTCAGGTTTTTGAGAACACTTCTTTATTATTGTTCATTTATTTGTTTGCAGGAAATTAGAACTGAATTTAAAAATAGTTTTGAAACAAATATTTGCGCTTAACAAACGAAATTAATTATTTATAGGCTAATTGATGTCTGTGCGTAAAGGTTTTCTTATCCAAGAGCGAAACTGAAAGTAGATCGATTATCTCTCATTCTTGCGCGGTAGATGCCCTGTTTAACTGTTTTCTGTAAAATAAAAAACGGTTAACCGTCCTGTAAATAGCAAATCCGCTTATGGCTCTTAAAGGGAATGGGAGATGAGACTCTGATTGGTTTATTCTCAAAACACCTATAACTCATTAAGAAAATAAACTCAACCCTTTTAGACCATGCGCCACGGAGCAAAGCGGATTTTCCCGTCCTTAAATTAGCAAATATGGATTCTGACACGCCCTAAAAACGTTTGCGTCCTGCGCTTTCCG